TGTAAGATACTAAGTATGGACTTGCATTTAAAACTGTAAACAGAAGACCCTTCTTTACCCAGAGGAGTTGTGGCTATATGAAGCTACCCATCCATGTTGTTGAACCTGACACCAAAGTTTATTTCAAGAAATTATTGATCAATTATCTACTAACTACCAAACAGGCTTGATAGGCCAATGACATCTTCTAGTTTGTAAAAATTATGTTCTTATGAAGAATCAAGTCTGGTCCTTGAAGGCTGAAAAGTACTTAGGTTTTAAGCCTAAATTATATCTAAATTAATTTAATAAAGCAAGCTGTTTGAAAATGGAAAATCTTCAGAAATTGGTGATTTTGTGGTGACCTTTCAAAAACTGCTGGACTGGGGCTCTCCAACACCCGGGCTGGGCATTCCTGCTTTACAACCTCGTTACTGCTTTCAAATAAAATTTTCTGAAAACTTTTAAAGATGCTAAGATTTTGATCATGTTATTTTAAGTGTATATCACTCTACATATTGGTGTATCAGAAAATGATTTATTGAACCAAATGCTGCCAAGATCTAGTGTTGATTTATTCACCAATTTCTGCATTTGTATTTGTATTTTAATTTTCAACAGTTCAGCCCATTTTATATCAAACTTGATTAGCTGACATTTCATTCAAGCATTCAGAGTTCCATATTCATCACATCATCATCATAGTAATAATTTATTGCTTTAATACAATGCTTCATCGTAAAGATCTTCACATATAGTGCCCATCTGGGTTACATGTGACAGCCATTACACAACAGTAGCCCCACAACAGAGTTGATCAGATCTACCTTGCTTTACCAGCTCTTCTGCTTTACCAGTTGAATGAAAAGGTAACCATTTGCACTCATTATTCTGTTGGGAGATTCATTTTTCTGCTGTACCTGACACTGAAATCTCAATAAATGCGTTTATTCATCAAGATTGAAAATAAGGACATCCTGTTCACATAAAGTCACTCAATAGTTTATCTTAAGGATATATTGCAAGGGATTGATCCTTTAAACAGAGATCTTTTAATCTGAGATCTGCTGATACAGATCTTCTTACTCTGCCACAGACAATGCGTAATTGAGTCTCGTGATTCCTCAGATATGGACGTTACTCTTCAAGTCCATTAAGCTCTCCAAAAAATCATCAATGCCAGGGGCAAGATAGAGTAGTGTCTCTGATAACAACACTCCTGTTGTAACCTTAAACAAGGTGGTTCACCCCAGTTGCTCCAGCCCACTCAGTTTTATACATGGGGACCAGCGTTGCTGGGAGTAATCCCTGTGGTAGATTCTCATGATCTCAGTATGAACACTACAGAAACCAGGAGTGTGCAGTGGTATGGACTGCTTTAGTTTTATTCTTGTTTTTATTAAATCAATTTGCTGTGCTACAAGCTGCATTGGTGGAACAGAGGGTGTCACTCTTCTCTCTGGACTAGAATTTACAAGCCAGTGCCGAGTGGTATGGTGGCTAATAAGGACACTGTGCAGTCAGAGGTGCTATGCTTCAGATGAGATGTTTCACTGAGGTCTTAATAACTGTGTCTTTAAAGATGACCTGGCTCTATTCATCACAATAGTGGTTAACTCTCATGTCTTGACTAAATCCGGCTTACTTAAGCTTCCCCCTTTTCAGTCGAATTGATCTGTTGTGTAGCGGGGCTGCTGATGCAGAATGGCTGCACTGACAGGTGGCACACTTCAGTGGTGGAAAAACAGTCTTGTGTAAATGCAAAACAATTATATGTTCACATTAATATAAATGACTGCTTGTAATTCAGCAGCCTTACCCATGAGTGGAATGGAACAGGAACTGTGTATTCACGGCAGAAGCTACTTTCTGGATGCTGAAAGGCTTAAGGTGATCAGAAAGATTTCAACAGAATGTCTTTTTTCAGTCCTTTTTCTGCACTGTAGTTAGATTCAATAACTCTTTGTATTTTCTATGGTAATTAGATTGACAGAAGGAGCAAATCTCACACTATTTTGATGGAATTATTATATTCACACATTCATTTACTGGCAAAAGCCGGGCTGTAAGTTTCTCTCATGCCAACAAGCTATTGCAATGCCTTTTAATATGTGAACGATGCTACCTGATTATGACCAAACAAAAAGTATATGTACATTTATGTCCATTCATAATAGAAAGAAATTAAAGATTGATCTCTTGGTGTGGCTACATTGAGCACATGACATTTAGTCGATAGGATGACTAACATAAGGGTAATGAGGTGTCAAAAGGCAGTGAGGTGTACTGTATGATTTAACATTTTCACTCGTGTTCATATAATAAAACAATAAAAGCAATACACTTCACAGCCACTAGGGACTTAATCACCTTGAGCTACTTATAGTATAACATTACCTATCATGTAACCAGTCCATAATGAATAGCAACTGTAACTTAGATGGTATTCTGAAATAGTTTTCCTGACAGTAATGGAGTAAAATCTAAATTTGACTCCATCAGTAATTGCAGATTTTCAGATGGCCAAGAACCCATCTATTGGTGGTGTATTCACGATCTGTAGTGTCATCTGAAAAGACGTATAGGCATGTGTACATGACACTTCGTCTATGTCACTTGATGGAATTTAGCTTTCTATAATAACCTCACTTCTGGCTGCTGTCCTGCAGTACAACACATGCTGTTATCTGTCACACGTGAATTTACTCTATACAACACATTAAAAATAAAGTTTGCCGAACAGTTACATTTTTTAACAAAGATTAATTGCAGCCCTGGACAGCTGATGATACTGTACCTTGTAATACTGTAGATTTTAAAAAAAAATAAAAACAATTAAGGGTTAAGCTTTCAAATATGAGACAGACCTAAAGGAAATACGATAGGACAAACACTTTCACTGACATTTGTCAAAGTTAATGTACTTTTAATTTTATGAAATCGCGTTTTACGTAATCACCTAGATGGCCAATCTTTCTCGCATTCTACTTTATTATACCATATATGGATATAAATAGTAACCCAAACACTTTATGAACAGCTGCCATAAAAGGTTATTTTACTTCCACATTCTTATGCAGCATCAAAAACTTTTAGAATGACGTGTTATTTATTTTTGCGCATTTCAAAATCATTTTTTTTTTAAGTTTTCTCTTTCACAAGAGCTGGAGTTGAACGTATTATAATAACAGACGTTTTTTTGGCCAGAAGCACTTTCAGTAAAAACAATATTCATCTGTAAGATACCGTAAGTCAGCATATGCCTTTTAATATACAGTATATACAGTACATAGTTCATTTAAGAATGCTTTCGTGACATCTTATTTTACAAGGGCTGATACAGTTGGTGCATTTAAGGGGTGGAATTGGTCAATGCTAGTTTGAAGAAAGTCGGCAAATGAGAAACATTAACCTGCAATCCAAGTGTGCAGTCTATTTTATATCTTCCTCCTTGTAATAAAATATATTAGTAAATATTACCTGTTTGCACCTGTCCTCTGCCGCCTTTTTGTCCCCTTCGGCTTGTTCAGCCCTGTCAATAGCGTTTTCCTTATCCAGTTTCAGCATCTGCATTTTCTTCTTGATGGCATCCATGGTTGATTATTTTTAGGAGGTTTTCTCCAATATCAGGTGAAAAGCAAAGCAAAGGCAGAATCTATCAGGAGCGCACAAGCCGAGGAGCAAGGCAGAGTCCTGAAATGACAAACCTCTGAGTTCGTGTGGAGTGATAAAAAGGAGCCTTTCTTGATTTGGTAATAAGGAAGCCTGGAATTCCCTCTAAAGTAACCCAAGACTTTTTTGGAAAGATCAGCTGAGTCGCTCCTAAGCCAGAGTGACGTCGTGCTCCTGTGATTTGTGCTCGTCTGAAAACTGGTTTATACCTTAGTGCAGGGATTTTGTCCATCTTTGGGAGGCTCCGATTTCTCTTAATGTTCATATCTCAATGGAATGAAAGTTTGTCCTAAATATATCACCGAAGTGAGAATGTTACAGTCACTTGATAATAGGTGGATCGTTTACATTTTTAAAAACATCTCCGTCATATTTGGACAAACTTTGACAAAAATAAATTAAAAACGTTATGAAGTATACACATTTCCTACCAATTTCCTACAGTAATACCTAGATTTTCCACCACCACTAGTGTCATATCTCCGGAGAGTTCCAACGATTTACAAGGTTTTCAATTTATTGCACCACAGTTAGCGTTGAATTTTACAAACGTTAAGCGTGGTCGAGAGTCCCGAATTATACCAAGGTATATAGAGCAAATTGCAGACTTGTCAAAAGACGAGTTTTAAAACCGAATTTTCTGACTAAATATCCTATAAATACTATAAAGAGACATCGATTTATGTGGTTGGTGACTGCCGCAGTCTTCGTACTGTTAAGAACAGAACGAAGTGATATAAACTTTAAATGTCACTAAGGTGGTTGATGTGGTGCCAAGTGCAATATAGCTGTCAACACATCTCATTAGATACACACACTAATCATCAGTTGTCACTCTGGGTACCGCTGAGAGGGAAACTGCCAGGCGCAGTGCAAGACGAGATACTATAACACCGCAAGCGTAACATAGCGGCTTTAGAACGAATGTAGACAGAAGGGAACGAAAAGGCTTCGGACGGCAAGTCACAGTTTATTCAGTTCCCATCTCCGTCTTTTCAGTGCTGTTTCACACATCAATTAAAACTTCGGTCATTGAAGCGGGAAACACATGCACTCTTCAGATTTTGATCCTGTACGTCATAGATAAAACATAGTTTTATAAATGCATGGATGTTAATTTGTCATTTTGAACAGTACTACAATGCTCAAACTCTTAAAACCACTGAAAAAAGTCACTAAGTGTGTATGGGTTCCATTCCATTTGAAAAAAAAAACCCAAACAGATGCAGCTCCATTATTTTCATGTCTTAGGGAGATATCTAATTCAGATGAAATTCAACATTGAGGGCACAACACAGGCCTGTTGTTGATTTCCCCTGAATTTCAATAAACAAAAAAATGACAAAACGTGGTGAAAACCAACTTTATTGAACATCAATACTTTCAAATACACACACAAAACTGTCCTTATAAATGTTAAAAAAGTTGGTATCCATTGTTAATAAGGCATATGGAGTATCAAAATAAGAAGGTGATGTGAACAACAAAAAATTCAAAGCGGCATTAAGCCAGAGGCTTACATCTCTCATGTTAACAGCAGGCAACTAGTGATAAACCAAATCACTTTAATGATGGCTGTTAATACTTTGCAAGATTGTTGTATGCTTCGCAAACAGATCCTTGCCAGCTGTGGACTCTGAACGTAAGCAACCTGCAAAAAAAATATCTTTGTGAAAGCAGCGGCTTTACGTGATTTTGTTAAGTTAAACGTATAGGTAAGTGCACTTAAGGTTGGACAGAGTTAATAATTACATACACAGACATTTTTTTAAATGCACATGGAGGCACAGTTTGACATTGATATGTTGAATAAACAGAAAATCAGGCCATGAGAATACATAAAAACAATCAGCAATACAATGGCACATGGTATCCAACAGGTATTCAACAGGGTCAACTCTTTTTTTGGCACTCATTCATTGAACCATTGCATAATTATTCATAATTATTCACTGCAGCACTGTTCAATTTGGCCAATGTGAAACAACATAAGTACAAGGTGCACACTACATTTCTACACCACAGAGGCATGTTCCACTTAACATAGCACCTGGCAGAACTTGTAGTTGAAAACCAATACTGATTTGGAACATTAAAAAGTCTAATATGGCCTAACCTAATGTGGTTTCATCACGATTCAAGCAGAGCAATGGAAACATACATTTTAATAAAGGGTACACACAAAAAAGCCCAGTGTTGATACAAATATTATTTTTTAATTTTCTTATCATTCAGTACACAGACTGTAAAAGCAACGTTTTCAATGTTTATATATATTTAACTGGAAAATACATTCTCTCTTACAGGTCCAAAGTTGACAATGGCAAGTACGTCCAAATCCAGACACCTTCAAAAATGCCAACGGACAGTTAATCTATATATAAATTTCATAGACGATACCATTTTCAATACATTTTCTAAAATGATATGTATGCTTACCTTGCTTAAATACATACTTTTATTTATTGTTTCAATGCTGTATTTTAATAATTGCACTTCTTGCCCGAGTTACGCCAAGTTGCATTAAATATTACTTAGCTAAGGTTAACATTAAGTTCTGTCTGCTTTGGAACTCTCTATATAATGACTGCAACACTACGAATTATGGCATGTGTAATCAATTTTTTTTGGGGGGGGCATTTCAGTGTTTCCACAACTTGTCCAAACAAGGTGTCGCGCTGCTTTTTTGTTTTGGTCCAGCAGGTGGAGCCACAGATATTAATCATGCAACCCCACCTTTTGGCAAGAATGCACTTCAGAATTAAGCCACGGGGAAAATGGAACCTCAGTACAGCGAAATCTTCACAAGCAACCTACAAGTGAAAGAAACTAATGCCATAGAAAGAGCAGGTGAAAGCAAACAAGTTCCACTCATCTTAAAGAGCTTATTAAATCGGGCTAGCAAAGGAGCACTCATCTAAATGGAATTGCATACATTGTACATTATCAAAAGTGGCATTAACGCTTAACTTAAAAAAGGGTTGAAACCAACAAGAAGAAATAAAAATGATTTTCAAATAACTGTAAAAATAGAAATCTTTCATTTCATCTTTGACCTATTTGGATTCATCTGCCACCAAATCCCATTTCCCCCCCACAAAATCCAAATGTAACAGGGATTTTTTTAAACCTCTATTTAGATTACTTCTTGCTGGCCAGATGAAGTCCTGAATTTATCTGTTATCCCGAATCCCGTTTGTTAAAAAAACCTCGCTATATTCTGTATATCTCTGTAAATTAACAGATGGCCTTGCCCCTCATTGCTCCTGTCCATCCTCTCGCAGTTCGGAGGGCAAGAACTTGTACTGCTGCTGCCTGATCATGGCGAGTTTCTTTCGTGCCTCATCCAGCTCTCTCTCCTTCCTCAGCATCTCCTCCTGCGCCGCAATGATCTACAAACACAAAAGACAGGCACACTCCCTGAAGGCTGTTCCCCTAGGACATCTTGCCAGTGAAATAATGCCATCATTTTAAATGTTGTTTTTGGAAACAAAGCATGGGATTGTGAAAAAAGAGATAATGTGCATTCTATGCGATGCTTTAAGCCCTTGAAGATTTTGGAGGCAAAACAGAAAGTAAAAATGAAAAAAACAACAACAACAGGATCATGAAGACAAGCATTTCAAACCTTCACAGAACATTAGGGTAAACAGTATCAATAATACGGTATTCTGGTTTACAACTTGTAAAATTCACACAATACTAGTATCAAACTCTTCCTGAGATTTGGACCTACCTGAGCAATACCACCAACCATCTTGCTCTTTACAACAACGGCCTCGTCGTCATGGGAATCAAATGCTGCTTTCTGTGCAGCCTTCACCAGGTTGTCTGAGGCTCTCTTCACAGCATTGCCAGCAGCCTGATTGAGAAATCACATGGTGAAAACATGCATGGCTTAAATTAACATTAAATACAATCCAGAAATCTTGAAGAAGCCTAGAGATCAAGACCAAAGGGGCATTCCTTGTCATAAATTAATGTGGGCTGTGCTGGCAAAGGACAGAGTTGTATGGAATACAATGGTATGTGCTTTGATGGTTTATTGTATACATTTGATGATGTATTGCATGGAATACAATGGTACATGCCTTGGTAGATTCCAGAGGCATAATCAGAAGCACAGATTTCCCAGGGCAAAATACTCTGCAACATACCAATGTACATGTTCCAGTGCCATTCAAAATGCTAACAGCAATTAAAACCTATTCAATTGTCACGAGACCTAATAAGCCGTCTTCCTTTCTCTGCATTAAGTGACTTTTCTACTGCAGCAGCAACAGTGCTTAAGGTTAATACTTAAAACCAACTTTTTACCTTCAATTCATTACTCAGCACAGACTCCTGTTAGGGGAATGTAGTACTGGGCCAAGTCATCCAGTCAACCATAACAAACTTCCTTTGCACTTCTGCATTTCTTTAAATGGTAATGTTGGCTGTAGCAGAAAGCTGCTCAAGGAGATTCAAGTTAAAAAACACCAGCACAATTAATCTTGGTGACTCTGACAGAGTTTCAGTCCCTCGGTTCTTTTCACCATTTGTGGTTTTCCAGAGAGGAAAGCAATGCTCTTCAGAGGCAGAGCTAGACCAGTGAGGTACTGCTGCCAGTTACTGGGGCAGTTATCAGGGCAGGGTCAAGTACCAACACTTGCTTGACCCTGATATGCAAGAGTGCTGTATCACTTCCTACTGATTTTTGTTACATCTGAAAAAGTGGCAAATGTTCATTTTATTGTGTCATTTGATGTTTGAGAACAAAAACAAGATTGTACTGTACCTCTTGTATTTTGTAAATAATGAAGACCAAATGTACATTTTTCTTTTCAGAAAAGTCACATGATTTAACTGAGCAATGGATTTAAAAAAAACTTAAATGCTTACATGTTTTACTGTGATATAATGGGGTGTGTGCTGTAATATGGACATGATAAAATAGTTATGAAATAGAAGATATAAAAGCATATGAAATAAGAACAGTGAAAACATATTGGAAATGTAATTATTCTTATAGATCTATTTTACTTTCATTCAAATCTGATTTCTCATGTAAAAAAACACTTGTTAAAAATTGAATTTTGTCTTTGCAGCTACTGTATGCCTTTTTCTTTGGACTACTTGTGATGATTTTTTTCCATGGTCCTCAGTGACAGCTTATGCTTGGAATTAAGATGCACATTCCGATTCCATTAATATGTTTAAAAACATTGCCATGTGATGATTTCTGGCTGCACCAGCTAGACAATGCACACAGTAGACATATTAGGGCATGTGCAGTGTAATGCTTCTCTAAAAACAACCTACAAGGTATGATTTCTCTGAGCTTTAGTCAGGTACCTCATGTTTCACCACTGTGCAAATTATTGAACACACTGACAGAAAGATGTCCTCAAGCTAAACAGATCTGTTTAACCTTAATGTGTTTGCCTCTCTTATCCAACTGGTGCTAGCATTTAAGCTTATGATATAGTTGCCTGTTTAGGATTTGGCTGTGCTCTGCCTCAGAAACCTATATATGTGCAAATCTGCAGATTAAAGGGGGACAAAATATTTCAGCCATCAGATAAACTGCTTACATGGATAAAAATTAATAACATCTAATTAAAAATTGGCCTTGAATAATTTCATAATTTCACTGCTGTCCAAATTGCTGCTGGCCAATATAGTTCATGCAATTAATCTGTACCAGTCATCTGTAACCTAGTAATTAAAGTTCAGGTTTAGGACTTCAAGGCACAGCTAGTTCCAACTTTTAAAATCCAAGACCAGTGAAGAGATACTAATGCCAAATAAGCTCGTATTAAACTACAGCAGCTGCAGGCTCTTGTATGGTGGTAATACAGGCTCACACCTGATAGGCCAGGAGCATGGTCATGTGATGGTCTACCCAGCAGGATGGACACTGTATGACTGGGTTCTTCTTTGAGCTATACTTGTTGCATCTGTGAGCCATTAACCTTACTGTAAGGCAGGTGGAAAATGTAAATCCTCTGCAGTGTGTAACAGGAAGAATGATTGTGTAATGAAATCCTATACAAAAAATCCTAAGACAATAGAAAAAACTCACAAGGCTTATATCACAATGTGGCAAAGGGAAAATGTTGCTTGTAAAAGCAGTGCTCCAGAAAACCCATGGCCATATGGGAAAGGCATATGGTCTGTGTAACAGATCTTGATGAATTGACTTTTGGAACTGAAAACACTAAGGTCCAGTTTCCGAAGGTTATAAGTTTGAACGTAAATGAACTGGAGTGAACAATTTGAAACTATAACAGAAGATGACGAAATTTCAATGCAGTATATCTTCTGTTTGTCACAAACAAAAATTAATGGCCTTTGTCCATATCTGCAGATTCTTATCTCAAAGATCAGAATCATTGTAAGAAAATTGCTACAACGGATAAAAGGTCACCTGCTCTAAATATAGTGACTCGTTTAATCCTGACATGACAGCTGGGACACATAGGGAAAGCACGATGTAAGACTAGAAACTTGGACATATGTTTCCATTTCTTTGCACACCATTTATGGCTTCACACTCATTTTGGTTTATTGTGGATGATGATGCCAGCATAAAACAAAGAACAGCAAATTTTAAATTCCATATTTCTGGATGTTAAAAGCAGAAAGTATTCCATTCAGTTGACTGATCACTGACATCATTTCCCCTGCTTAAAAGTCGATGCTATCATTCAGTACAAATCTATCAGAAGCACGGGACTAGGTGGAATTACACAAAAGCTTAACAAATGGTGCGTCACGTGAGGGGCTTAGCTTCTTGGTCATAACTGTCTTGTTTGGTCTTCCTAATAACTTTTTTTTGTTATGTACTGTGATATAGTAAGAAAAATGTTTATCCTTGCCACAAGAATTAAAAATATAAATGTGTTACAAAGGTTAGAAGGAGACTTAATGTTGTAAGGTTATAAAAGGTTTTATGTACAAGCAATACTTTTAAAATATAGGGGGCCCTAATATCTATCTATTCCTGTTAGTGACCAGAAAGTGATAATGTACAGTGAAACAATGTACACAGATACATTTTTCCACATTGAAAACAATGGAAATATGTGGGGATAGCAGCTCTAAGAGCATAAACCTTACCTGCTTGATAAAAAGGAAGCTTTTTCCTTATGAATCAATGGATTAAAGTAGGGTTAGGGACCATAAGTTAAGCTAAGTGTTTGTTTCACTTGTAGCTATCTAAACACTGCACATTATTGTATATGTAGATGTAACATTTTTATTCTAACCTATCACTCACATTTATCTTGACTTAACACATCATTATTTTAAGTGACATTTTAAATAAACCTGTCTTAACCTAACACTTCTTTATATAGTGTTACCTTTGAGAAGTGGATAAATTGTGCTTGATTCTTAATGCTGCTGTGCTTTGTCTTACATTCAGCACATTCACTATTACCTGCAGTATACTTGGAACTTATGGATGCAAAGATAAATTCTTGCATAATTAAAGTCAATAAGGCAAATACAACAAATTCAGCTGCTAGGAATGTTTGTGTCGCATCCCTCATTCCTCTTTGACTTTAATGCGTGGAAACGTATAGTTGTTGGAGTCACTTTGAACAATACAGGGGTCCACTGTATATGAAATAGCCAACACAGAAGAAAACATGAAACCTGCTGCATGAAGACCTAATAAGTAACAATACTCATTTCATGAGAGAAAACCCATAAGGAAAGACTGAAACAAAACTTAATCCTCACCTGAAGTCTTTTCATGGTCTGAGAGTCCTGGTCAGCCTTGACTTTACACGCCACCAGCAGCTGGGCAGTTGATGCTGCCACTTGTTTGGCCGAGGAGATAAGTTTCTCCTCGCTGGCATGGCCCTGGACAGCAGAGTTAGCTGCTTCGCAGAGGTTGTTGGTAGCCGCGGCAACCATTCGGGCCTGGACAAAAATTTATCCAGTCAGTGTTTGATAGAAATTACAACTCTACTTAAATATAACACATTATAATAATTGCATTGATAAACAGTAAATGCCAGAATTTAGGAAAAGTTGTATACTTAAAGGGAAATAACTTTAGGGGCTGGGCCTAATAGATGTTTTGTAAATACAGATATCTTTTAGTTTATTATAATGTGACAGATAACAGAAGAATAAACATATATAGAACATCTGTGATGCTCTGTTGCTGTCAAGGAATAAGGTATGCAATGTTTTTCTTAATTATAACTTAGGCAAAACCATTAAAAAATACCTTAATGGCGAATTAAAAAAAAATCATGCCTCATTTTTCAGATGTTTCATTAAGTAGAGATCTTCCGTTTTGTACCATAAAGTTTTGTACCCATATTACTGTAAGAGTTATGCACACTGTAACAAAACCAAAGGGCACATAGTATGATCAGTGTCAGACATCCATTACAAAATACAGTGGGCATTCAGGATTGAGTTTCTGAGCTTCTGTATTACTGCAACCAGAGTTACAAGAGTATGACAACATTGTAGGTTTGGTTATTTAAGGAGTGTCAGGTTTAATCCTGTGCTTTAAAGGCTTTAGAGGTGGCTCTTCAAAACCCCTTTAAGCTCACTAAAAAAAGTAAGCATCAGTCATTCAACTGGCAGCATATAGGATTCTGGTACAACAAATGAAAACTCAAAAATAAAACAAACCAACAGCACAGTGTAGTTATTGCTGTCAGCATTATGAGAGACTCACAGCAGAAATGAGACCCTGAGACCACTGCCCATCATCCACTGCATTGGCTGGTATGGCGCCAACCTAAAAAAGAGATTGCAACAGTTCAAATCAAGCAGAAACAAGATAGCATAATTTTTCATTATCTACTCACCCAATTTCAAAATCACTGAATGTTTTGCAATTTGGTTTTCTGCCAATGGCCATGTTCCTCTTAAATGCCCACCCACAGAGCTACAATTTGACTTGTGGCAAGTTCGATAGCAATGGGAGAGTTAGCACCAACTGAAGGAGCTGCACATTTCCGGCTGACGTCATCTGGTGAGTCACAGAAGTCGTTGTCTGTAGGAAAGCCAAGACCGCTGTGGCCTAGTTATCCCCACACCTGCTCTGGCAGGTCTCGTCTAATTGCACACCATCGCTTGGAGAGTCCTGATCAGAGTTGGCTAGTAGCATGAGCCAGCTCACACATTAGACTCAGCCTCGGCTCCGAGTGAGTGCCTTTATGGGTTGATCCACTCAGGAGCCCCTGCCTCAGACGTCTCCACAGCTCATGAGCAGATACGAAAGTTGGGGTTTCTGGCCCATGGCGCCGGAGCTCACCTTGCCCTGTGCCACCAGCTCTCTCTGCGCAGCTGAGGCCGCTTTCACCAGTGCACTGGTCGCCGCAGCGATGGACTTGGCAGCTTCCAAGATCTGTTCCTCAAAGTTCAGGCTTTCATCCGCTTCCTGAAACACCAACGACAAAAAAAAATACATTTTAGAACATGCAGCTCTGTATCATTACTTACAATGCTTTGCAGAGATGTGGAGATGAATGGACAAAGCAATTGGCAAACAGCAGCAACTTGTGGTGCACAGCGCACTAACATGTATCCATTAATTTGCCCGCAGGACACCTGGCACACAGTGAGCACCTGAGAAGGGACTGAGTTGTGCTGTGGCAATGTGGCTGATGGGAACAGGTCTTACCTTAGGTTTGGCTCTGGGCTTAAGCTGCTCCAGCTTCTTGGCTGCAGCCTCAATTGCAGCTGCTGCTCCAAGCAACTCATTCTCAGCAATGACAGTGGGGTCCTCTGGATCAACCCATTCTGTTCCTGCAGGCCACAGACACAAGCCTCAGCTGTGAAGATCTGATTTAGCATCCCTAAACCGCTAGGCTAATTTTCCAGTAGAAGAATACATACATAGAACAATTTCTATAAGTAATGTGACACAGAATCACTACACACACAAGAATGCTTTACAAGAGTAGAAAAATTATCAAAAACACCAGCTTCTGACAATCCTTCTACTTGGGTGATTCGACTGAAAAGACTTCATCAATCAGCATATGGTAAAACCTGAAATATAGTAATTGATGTTTAACTACCAATCGATTCATGACTGAAACAATTCCATGTAAGCCACATGCTTTACAATCTAAGACTTCAGGTGCAAGAGTATAAAATATCACATAAAATGGAATAAAAGTAAATAAAAATAATACCGGCAAGTCTACCATGAAACACTTTAGATATAAATGGTTAAAAGAATATGATGTGATGATGCTCCCAGAAGACAGGGGGTTGGCTGGTTTACCTTTCATGGCTTCTGCTGCCTGAATGAGCTCTGTGACTGACCCAGCCACACGCTTGGAGTACCCTGCCAGCTGCTGCTTGAGGTCATGAGAGGGCTTCTGGATGATCTGAGGGAGAAGAGTACCAAGAACCTTCACCCTGCTGGAAAAACAGCTTCCTAGACATAATATCGTGTACATTGAGAAGTGCCTGCACCCCTTAAAATTTCAACCTCAATTTCAGTTTAGAAAAACAAACCATCAAAATAAGTGGCTGAAAATTTATGTTACTTCAAAAAATGTTAAAAGTTGCCACACAGCGAAAGAACTAAACACAGCATTTAAATCAATACAAAAATAACAATGAAGGCCTTAATGAGGTGGAAAACTGCTCCCTAAATGTGCATATAGTGTCCTTAGTTTGTCCTCTGGGTTTATCTGAGGGTTGACCAGATAAACAGGTGCAAAGGATCAGCTGTGCATTTCGAGTGTCCAGCCCTGTTATGTTAACACATGTCAATTTCAAGTTCATTCAAATTCCCTACTAAGAAAAGACGCATGCACATGATACAAAATGGAATCCCAAGAATGACTCTAGTTGGGCCAAAAAAAAACCTTCCCCTGAAGAACAAGATCTGTTGGAAGACTTCTCCTTCCAATATAGAAAATACTCGAAAGTGACATATCAGCCTTGAAGATGTAAATAAATATCATCCAAATTCAATAACAACATGCTTTTTGTAGTTCAGAGAAAACCAAAGCGTGGTTCAATCAAAAGCAGTGTTAATTGAGTTGCTAAGCCTTGGACTGCCATTACAAAAACACATTGTGAGGACACACAGACACCCACTGACTGTGGTGAGGGAAAAAGAATTAGACAAAGCTGTGTAAGGCATGATGGTACCTTTTAAAGTGCAATGCATTTTAACGCGGACGGTTTAGACTGCTTCCTTTTTAAAATTAACATTCGCTTCTAAACATCTCCATCGCATAACCTCCAAAGCAAAATTTTAGCTTTAATTACTTCATCACTACACACTACCTTCTGTAATGGCACAATGGTATTTTTAATTCTAACTGCATTAGCACAGAAAAAAAACTGGCTACCAATTTGCCCATCTATCGTGTCAATCCTGTTTTACTGTTAGCTTTGCAGAATTTTTAAATTCGATTTTGGATGCTAAATGATAATTAAATATGTTTTAACTAATCATTATTTGCATGTCATCAATGAAGGCTAAATTAGTATGAAAAGCCTAGAAATATTATTTATGAATTCAGAACAACCTTATGATTTAATCTTTCTATCTACAGGAAGAGCCAAAAGAACATCCGAATCCCTTGTTACAAGTGAATTATGCCTGGACAATAAAATAAATAAAACATTTCCCCCATTTTAAGAAACCTTCTAAATGTGAATTGCTTACTCAGTGCCGAGTTATGCACATAGTGATGGCTTGTGCTGTCTGTGCATCTGAATTAGATGGAAATGTCTGGTGCATCACACAGATACAAAGCATTTCAACGACAAAAATATGAAGAGTAATACATGGTTTTTTTTGTAACTCCAGTCTGTCAAAAGCTCTTCATCCAGGTCTAAGTCAGGAGTGTTTTTATCAAATCAAGCTAGGAAAAAAAGGGGGTGAACAATTGGTGTTTCTCTGATAAGCTCCTTTAAAAAGCACATGAATCGTGAAAGACAACTTTTATCTCATTTGTTACTTGACATCTCCAAAATTACAGTACATGGTTTCTGAATTAAGATTTTCTAAATGGAAAAAAGCAGCATGAGAATTTACAGGTATAAAGGGTACTCTAAACATCCAGGTTTGTAAGCTTTCATGCATGACTAAAATTGGAAGGCAGTTCTAATTTAAAGCACTTACTAGAAAAAGCTGAAGACCTACATCTAGAAAGATGCAATGAAGGAAACTTGGCTATTATACAACAGTACTACAGCCCAGGAGATACGCAGAACAGGTGTGGGGGTAAACACTGCAAGTACACGCGTTCGTGCAGTTCACTCAGATAGACAGCATAGCTGTTCTTCCTACTCACCGGCTATCACATCGAAAGTGAGATGATTATAAGAAAACAAAAAATACACCACAAAAAAATCAGTACGAAAATGGTGAAAATGATAACAACCATGCATATTATAACACTTAAGGAATACAGGAGAGAAACTGACATTTGACTAAATGAAATACACAGATTGGAGTGAAGATGTGTGATGAGAGCCATATTACAACATTGTGTGAATTAACTCTGGCACACCTCACATACACTGACTACATTTAAAGGAATATTGAAACACAAAAAGAACTCAAGTGTTTATAATCACCTTACATCTCATTTTAGTCTTACAAATGCAAAAAAAGAATATGAATAACAGAAATTAACTGGAAGCACAGATCATTGTGAGAACAAACGTAAAGCAAGGTCCTATGAAAGCAAAGTGAAAGAAGGAAACCAATGAGAATAAAATTGTTTTTTTCAAAAAGCTGAAATTCATTATTAGGCCATTTTTCTTCAAAAACTATTTATTTTGCTCACACATTTGCAAAGATTGTCTGCAATTATAAATAGTTTTGTAGTTCTAAGTCATTTGCAAGCAAATTAATACTACACATTCAATTAACATGTACAGGAGATCAATTGATCTTGCTTGGTTGGTTACAAGTAGTTTACTTCAGAATACCACTCAGTTGTAAATGTTTAATACTTTTTCAAGTCTCTCTTTACACTGATATAGGTTTATATGCATGGTTTCCCAAATCTGAATAACTACTGGACAAACAAAGTCATAATGAGTATTGCATGGGATTAACCCTAGCATTCCCCAAAACCACTTTGATAAGATTTACACTACTGTTACTAAGAAGCTGGTGCCGCCAGGAAAAGAAAAGGAGAAAGGGATTAATTAGTACACCTGTTTCTAAAAGTACTCAACACATTTTAATTTAAGAGAAAGGCTTTTCCCTGGCACCAGATAACCATTTTTAATGCATTTAAATTATTCTGGATTTTGTTCATTTGTTTCTTTTCTAAAAACATTGATTGCTAAAACCCACTCCTAGACTTAGCAATTATTACAAATATTTACATTACATTCATGTACCTCCTAATGCCTCTAAATGAGAAGTATACATCTTATTCCTATTTTTTAGGTAATACAGAAAGAAATGTTTTTAAAATTAACACAGGCCTTCTTTTTATATTAAGTACTGTAGATGAAACCTACTTTATTTGACTATATAGCAGATACTTTTTAGCTTGCAAACATATTATAAAGATGTCTGTCATACTAAAAGTTTTATGAACCTCTAAAAATGATCTCACCGATTGCTTGCAGCCAAATCATAATAAACTTTATTTCAGTCCTATAACCCGAAACTAATGCAATGTGAACTGTGCAGTCAGAAAAGTCAATCAAAACTTTCAATGTTTACAATTAAGTCAATTACTTCTGCCGTCTTTGACACTCAAGGAATCTACAAAATACTACTGGTCTTGAGAAATTAGTGAGCAATTTTTCAAGAATACAAAACTATAGTTTTACTATGAATACAGCAATACCTTTAAAAAATAAAAAACAAACAAAAACAATTTTTTATGTCAATGTCAGGAAGGGGAAATGTTGATATTGTGCATTTTAGAGTATTCTGTAAGCCATCTCTTCTGGTATGCAATGGACTTGAGTGCTGCACTGAAATGTAAAACGAAACCCCTGTGTGACCGAACACTAATCCTGAACACACTATTAGAGAGGGCATCAAGCTGTCAGAAGAGTACTCACCACCAGAACATGCTCCAGCAGGCCCAGGTATCCAGTTGCACACTCTTTGCCATATCGGAGAGCTCTTGTCTGCACATCTTTACTTACTTCAGGGTGATATGCCGCTTGCTGCATTAAAATAATATAAGAGGATAGTAAATAATTTTTCAGCTCTATTTATCTACATAAATTATATGCAGACAATATCTAGTAAGTTGGATCCCATTGCTATGACCAACTCCTAGTGCAAGGTCACAGTTTTTCTAAAATCACTTCAAAAATGGTCAAAGCACAATTTCTAGTTCTGAACCAATTCTTATAAACAAAAAGCGTTTTTTTATGAACTTCAATGAAAAATTCTACCTTACGTCATACACAATTTTATTAAAAACACTTTTACCATTTTGTTTATAGTATTGTAGATATTGGTAGAAAAATTGTTTACTGATGTAGATCTGACAAGAAAAGCTTTGGCTTTAACAGTTCTAAACAAATCATCATAATAACTAAAATAAGTAACAATGAGGACACATCTACAGGTACTTTTAATTTTACTTGAGATGATTTGTCAAAAAATAGTCACTCATGCTGTTGCTCAGTTGTGAGCAAATAAGAGGCAGATGAGGCTGATTATGTATTTAGTAATGTCAAAAGCTCTCAATTTATTTTCATTATGAAGCTGGGAAAATGCAGTTTCCAAAAGATTATATATACAAGAGATGAATATATGAGCACAAAACTGTATCAGATGGAACCTTGCCTGAGTTAAACTTTTTGGTTTTTACTGAACCCGCCAAAAGACATCTTCACTGGTGCGGTGAAATAAATCTAAATGATTCTACAACCTTTCGAATGAAGGAAGAACTACATGCTTAACTGGGGGGTGTAAAACAAAACTGCCTGACCCAACTTCTTCCAGCTCACCATGTCTAAAACTGGCAAAGACACAGGGTAGTCAAGACCTGAGTCCTTGCACACTTTTTCCCAAGGCTCCTGTGTGAAAATGGATATGGACCGCCTGGTTTTTATGGGTTACTGGGAATTTACCCTATCGTACTCGGTGATCAGTTTGTTTCAGTCATCAACTTGATACTTTCATGCTCTTTTTCCAAATGTGTTTGTGTACACTGACACCTGACATATCAAAAAGCAGACACCAAAACTCCTTCATTGAGAATCTGTGCATCCTCAGAAAGCATGCCATCAATTCACTACATACTGGAAGTAAACAATGATAAAAAGGACATGTAGCTAATTCAAATACAAATAGAGATATTAAAGTCAAATTACTTAACTTAGTTCAAAAGTTTTCAGGTATTTAACAAACATGATTAATAGAGTGAAAACATAATGGGTTTAGATTTTTTCCTCACCTTACAAGAGTGCAACATATCAGCTATGGCCCTACGGCTCAAGTTAGCCGTAGCAATGATGTCTTCTTGACGACACGAGTTCCCAGCAGCCACTGCTTTCGCGGTTGCCATAGTGATGCCTTTTGTCATGCGGATGAATTCCTCTGGTGTTGCTGTCTTGGGAGGAGGTTCTGGGCTTTTGAATACCTTCAAGCCAAAAAACAGAAGAAAGGAGATCTCAGAACAATCAGATTTGTTCTGAATATACAGTGCTATCGTTGTGACAGTATTTAGCATTACCAATGATTTCCAAAGTTCTGCATGACTGGTTAAAAACGTATTTATTTATAAATGTTATCATAATTTCAGACCACAAAGTACAAGTTAATTAAACGTAAGTATGCACATATGCTGTAGACTGAAATCAATTCCTTATTGCAATGAAAATAAAAGTAGTAACAGCCTGAAACATCTTGAAAAGTCACTTGAGGCAGAACAGGAATACTAGCCTGTAAGAAAGTTTCCATATAAGGATATGCTGAGGAAATACCAATGGTCAAGTACCAAAGCAATGCAATACTCACTGCCAGCTCCTGTTTAATGTGCTCAATGGTGGCCTCTAGGGCTCTGGTTCCTTTAGTAGCTTCATCTTCCACAGCCTTGACCGTCTTCAGGAGTGATGTCACATTGGTCACCATCACCTGGAAGGACAGGTATGCTTACTGAGCAACACTGCAGCTGTTAGGACACCCGGGACGTGTAGCACACTCGATACAGAATAAAATACTCTGTGAAAATCATTCTCATGTTGTTTGGCACTATTTACAGATGAAACACAAAATAATGTCATACAAGGACAGGAAAGAGAAAGGTTCCAAATACTACTAAATAAAGAACAGTATCACAATTTTTATATATTACTCTTGAATGCATTGCTCATGGTTTGTTTTTTGGAAAATATTAATATACTACAGGTTTCTGATGTAAAGGAACAGTATTAGAGTAATTCTTGTTTAAGTGACAGAATGTAGTTTTTAGATGAATGCAAGAAACCTGTTCATACAAGAGAGTAGAATGAACATAAAATAAAACTATTTAGAATGGGTGGGCTGAGGAGAAGTGAACATTAGCTGTGCACCTTGGCAGAATTCTTGAGCTGAAGCATGGCTGGGTCATCGTGTGGCTTCCCTGCTGCTGCCTTGGTGGCACTAATCAGGTCACCAAGAGCCTTTGCCACATCTTTCACTGCGTTGATCAGGACCACCTATTAGGAATAAAAAGTATGTAGTAATGATGTGCAGTGCAACTGCATTGCCACCTTGTGGGTAAAATAAGACATTACAGCACTAAACTGCAGTAAGGTTCTCAACGAAGGCTATATTGTAATCTCACTGCTTTAGGCAAATTCACAAAACCAGAAAAAGGGTAAACGCAAATATATTTTGTTTAAAGTAAAAAGGGGGCCTGTCAAGATAATGATAAATGGGTTCATTCACCCTGATATGGCCACAAAACAGTGTGCACTTCCATAAAAAAGGAAACTTCCAGTAACTACAAAAAAGAGGATTTCAAGGCAGAAAAGGAATTCGGATGAAATGTAATGGTTTTTAGTCTCACGGATGTCTGGGAATGTTCTGAAATCAACTGAAAAAGTATGCTATTGTTAAACTGATACACTACTGGGAAAATGTATGGTTGTAAAAGGGGATCCAATTTAAAAAACCCTCCATTGAGCAAATCAATTTTTTTTCTTTGCAGTACTATAATATAACAGTTAAGAAAAGTCCAATTAAATGTATTCAATGATGAATGGAATACATTTTTGTGATACCCAAAAGGAGTCAAAAACATTTCTAAACCCATATTTTATCTATCCAAGTTGATTAAATCTTTATGCTGCTCAGGCATAACAAATATCAGAAAAACACAAGGAAGGTGCTTGCTGATGTCTCCCTTAACCAGTCATTATCAATTAAGTCTGCCTTTGAACAGCAAGTCACAGTGTTCAAACAAACACATCCTATCTGCAGACAGATGTGCCTTTATATTGTCATATTCAAAGCACACCAACAGTCCCACTGCAGTTGATCTTAACTTCTCAAACAAAAACGTTTTGAAAAAGAAAAGTTGTTAAGCATGAAACGGGCAGAAGCCAGCCACAAAACGCCAGGCAGTTCCAGATAGATTATTACACTCGAACAGGCAGCCAAAGGATGCAGACCTGGGCCCTGTGAGCTCTTGCGACTCTGACAAGTTAGTTTTCTGCATGGTAGTAAAAAGCTCTTCGCTTATAAACAGCGCATAAAGATGTGAAGTTTATTAGTTTTAAAACGTGAATCAAACACCTGCCCAAACATCAGAATGAACAAAGACCTCATTAATACCACCCATATTTCTTGTATGGATGTTTTTTTGAGTTCCAGAGTTCTGTCCCTTCGGCTTTGTCGAGATGTTGTTTTCTAACCTTGGCCCCCCAAAGGATTTTGCGCAGTAAAAATAGATTTTTTGTTTCCGCAGTGACTAAGAATATTTGGTTAATTGACGGTTTTGAGACCACAATTGGATAGTGTAGCGTAGTTTTGATGACTATGATAATTCCTTACCTTTCCGTAGCAACAAAAACCTGGCCAGGAGCGACTCACTTTCATTCCTAAATATATTCTTTCTTCATCAGAAAATGTAAATCTAAATTGTATTAGTGTGTGTACCCTCTGGTGGACAGGTATCCCGCCCAGGGTGTATTCTTAGTACCCTCTGCTTCTGGGGTAGGCCCCAGCTGCTGTGACCCTCGCCAGGTAAAAGGAACCTTCTGATAATGGATGGATGTGTTTTTGCTTACAGACAATATGGAGGTGTTACTCTGGGGCACTGTATAAGAATTGATTTCAGGTCATAAATAACTACAAGGATGAACAAAATATGCATGAAAAATAAAGCTCAAGAATATATTATAAATACAAATGCAATATAAAATAATATGCATGTTGGGGATTGAATAAAGGCTGCTTTACTTAAGGCCATTTTTATAGACCACTAGCCACTCAAGGAAAAAAGATTTTGACACCTGACTTGCCTATTTGGGACTTCTCTTAATACTTAATTTCTAGATGTATTAACTTGCTTGCATTTAGTACACATATTAAAACAAATAAATTATGATTTTAAGTAAAACAAGGGAAGCATACAGTAGCAATTCAAAGCATTATTAATCTCCTGAAAATAAAGATCCAGACTGAAACAAAACAAATTGTAAACGGTCTAACTCACGGCTGCTGGGTTATTTGATTAGCGCTGTACTCATTACTCATTTAAAGAGTGATACACAATTAACAAGACTTTTGTGACAGGGATTTCACATTGGCAGGTGCTATCAAACCTGTTGTATGGGTGTAGTAAATATGAAAACAAGCCAAGGTAAATGGTTAAACTAGAGCAAGGCATCAAAGCGTCTTGTGATTTTAAGGAAAACAATAAAATGATTTTGAGATTTCAATGAAGTGGAGCTTACACTTTCCTCCCTACAATATTAAAACTATTTTTCATTTAAAGGGCAATCTTTGCTCAAATGAAAAAGAAAAAAAAACAAGGAAACTTCCTTGAATTCCTCCTTTTTCTACAATCCATAAACCCATAAACAGGGCTTTATTTCTGTCATGTTCACATCTTCTGTTGCACCTAACATTGGAGACAGTGTGGCAATGTTAGATCAATCAAGTGGCACAGGCAAAGCTAGACAATGTCTCCCACTGTTGGGGGAATGAGGGAAGTGTTAGGAATATAAGAGCTTAGATCATATCGTCCACATCTTGTTCACACTCACACACAATTTACTGATGAGGTAAAGGGCAAAGTGTTCATTTTAGCGTCCCGAAAGTCTTTTTTCATCCCAATGTTTTTTTTTTTATTTTACAGAAAATATCAAACCCAAACCAAAGACACACAGATGTTTTCAAATTTCCTAAAAACAAGGAAACAGATGGTTCAACCTCTCCACACACAAAAGGGTACCCACATCCTGACCGAAAGGAACCCCTGCAGCAGAATACAGTTCCTTTTTGACATATATAATAAAGAAAAACAGCGTGAGATTAAACAGAAAAGCAGGAGAAAAAAAACATCTATAAACAGGAAACATTTCACTCATAGGGAAACTGAGGATCCTAATGGTGAGAAGAAATCTAGAGTGAGGAGTGTGAGTAATAGAATGAGTTTGTGTGGGTATAGGGCCAGAGATAACTCTAGTATTGCTGAAGGAAACACTTTACACTGATACACTGTAACTCCCTATACTGATTTTAACATTTTCAAAAGTTCCTTATAATTATATCCTTGTTTATTGTCCAATTATTTCTGAAAATAGCTGGAATTGCAAAAACAGCACTAAGCAACAAGGAAGGATTTTTGTCAATTCTGTTGTGTAACTGCACAAGACTGTAAAGGCAAGGCAGTAATAAATGCCCTAATTTTTCAATTTTCTATCAATTACCACAGTACTATTTTACTTCAAAACATGAATTTGTCTTTATTTCCTGAACTTTCTTATTTTCAAACATTATTTATTGTCATTATTACAATATATTGATTTACAAAGTCGAAAAATGAATGTTAATTTAAAGAAAAACTAGCATGGGCATAAAAATTTATGAAAATCTAAATTTAAATAAAATGCTATAGGAAAAAGATTTGCCTATTTTGCTAGTATAAATACCTTTGTAACTTTAAATTATTTAGATTATTAGGGCTTTGTTATCTTATAATAGTTTCGCCCCAGACAATTTGACGAATGTCTTGCTGCTGTAGTAATTTTATAGCGAGTACTCCTATGTATTGCAAATGCAGAACTGTTGCACTGAAAAAGAAATGCACTTCTAAAACTAGGAAAGTCTATACTAACACTAAAACAAACATTTCCGGTTGTTGCAATTCTCTTTAAGATAATACTGACTTAAATAGTCACAAGTACTGAGCATTCAGTTTGCGACTTTGCCTGCTCCCTCTGAAGCACGCCACCACAACTGGATGTTCACAGACGGACACGCAGAATGAAGGAAGCAGTTCGGCGGGGTCTTTACCTGCGTCTCGGGGTCCTCGGCACCCAGGCTAGCAGCTCCCAGCTTGACCACGTCAGCCAGCTTGGTGATGGTGGTGACAGAGGACTGCGCCGCCTGGGCCAGCCTCTCCTGGCTTGCCCCTGCCCCTGACACCAGCAGTTTTGTGTCCTCCACCAGCGCCTTGGCAGTCTTCAGGATGCTCTCCCTGAAAGCGAGCAATGACATGCTTTGTTTTTCTGCCAAAATCTGTCACTGGGTGATAGAGTCACTTCTAGCACTGTAGATGTTTTACTGTACGTAATAAGATAAATAAAGAAGATAAAATGTGCAAAAAGTCTAAGCACGCAGGTGCATTGATGGACTGTGTTTTTGGAGGTCGGCCATTTTCTGTCAGAGTATGATGTACATGTCTTTGTTGTCATGGAAGTGTCTTTGCAATCCCAAAAAAACATGTCAGAAAACAAATGAAAATTCAGAAACCAGGTATTCATAAGTTGAGGGCTGAGTGTACTTGTTCTTCACTGAAGAATGAGTGAAACCCCAACAGTGAGGTTGTGGAGCTCCACAAGTTCCTAGTCACATACCTGTGATCAGCGAAGGTCTCAGCGTTCTCCCGGTTGAGGGTGCCTGCTGTGGCAAACATGATGGTGGTGTCCAAGTCGGCGATGATGCCAGACACAGCACTTGCAGCAGTGATGCAGGCCTGGGTCCCACGGTTCCCAGCCTGTAGAGCGGCCAGTACGTGAGATACCTGGAAATGAGAAAGCAAACAAAACAACATTAAAATGTATTTTATGTGCCACATCTTACATACCAGTTAGACTAGAATACATCTCTTTTTAATAATTTTAGAACAAGATGATGTGAAGAAGCTTGATGATTCAAGTGTTCAGTTATGAAAATTGCACATTCACATCGTTCTTGGTGGCAGTCAAACACATACAGCTGTAGGCCAGAATATAGAGCCCTAAAAAAAGGCACCAAGTGGCACAAGCAGAAAGTTTTAGACCCTTGATACTAAATTCAAGGGTAATTTAGTATCCTCCTTTAGTTTTATTTAAACATGTAAATGACCTTACATGCAAATGAACAAGTAATAGGTTTGTTCCATGCTGAAAACATTGTTTCTCCAGGTGTGAGAAAGACAGGGCAGGCAGCAAAGATTAAATAGCACAGGAGAACATAAACTGGGAGAGGGGAGGAGGCAGAGAGGCAGAAAGGCCATTCAGGAAGTGCAAAGTGGGGAGGGGTGAAGAAAGGTGTGAAGTCAAAACCTGCATGAGATTAGAGAAGATTACACGAAAATTAGTTGTTCATTGAGAGAAGGGGGATGGTGTGAACCTAGTTTCAGGATGAGTTTAGTTTCTGTTGTTTTTCTGCTGTGGGAGATGAGAAACCCTTCTTTGAGAACAGAGACAGAGAGATCATTGTGATCATAGCCATCGGAGGTGAAATGAGAAACTATGGGCTTGGAGAATTTTTTTTAATCATTACAGCCCTAACATATTTTCTGAAGCAGTTTCCTAGTCTCCTTCCGGTTTCCAAAATGTAGATAGCGGGGCATTTTTTGTAGGAGATACAGTAAATGAGGTTGCTGGAGGTACAGGATGTCATCTGGGTGATCCGGAATTGACCTGAGGGGCCCTGAATGAGTGTGGTGTTAGATATGTACTTGGAGGTAATGCACCAGGTATAGATGATTGCCGAGTGCAGTTAAGGGAGCTGGGAACCAAAAGTTTATGTAGATTGGGTAATCGGCGGTATGAGATGATTGGGCAGTTAGAAAAAAGGGTACTGATGGAGGGATCGCCCTGTAACATGGAGTAGTTGTTAATAATGGTCCTGGGGATAGAGAGTGTGTTAGAGTGGTAAGGAAGTACCAAAGGAATGCAGTTGTGAGACTGGGAGTTCCTGGTCGAGTTGATGATCCAATGGTTGTTTTTGTCCTGGGTGAGGGCCCTATCGATAACATGGATGGGGTATCCTCTGTTGTTGAAGTACCTGAACTACTTGCATTTAAATGACCTTTAAATGTGATACAAAAATGAACAAAGCACCTACCTTCTCCGAGACCTTGCGTGCGCTCTCAATGAGCTCTTTCTTGGTGAAGGCATCATTGGGGCTGCACTGCAGGGCACCTGCTTTGGTCACCAGGCTGGTACAGTTGTGACCCAGGTCTTGCACCTGTTTCTTGATGTGGGATCCGATCTATCAAATGAAAAGGACACTCATGTTCACAACAGATTTCATGTGCACTCTCCTCTAAAACATCACTTGCCCTGCTGTGTCATCACAAGGTAAGTAAAGTGACAAAAAAGGATCAATATATCTAATGTCAAAGGTAGACATGTAGGTCCTCTACTGGTATTAAGCACCAATACTGAGTGTGGGGTGAAGGCTTAACCAGTTCACTTATAACATAGTGGGAGTACTTGTGATGATGTAAGACAATAAGAACCAGTGGTAGGGCAGTTATGTTCAGAAGGATGGTAGTTCTAGACTACCCCATGAACATTAAGGAAATCACTCCATGAGGTGTTTAACTAGTCACAAAAACAGAGATGTACCCACTCCTCTTGTATACAATCACTCTGTAACATATACCTCTTCGTTTTCAGCCGTGATTGCTGCAGGTTTAGCTTCTTGTGCAAGCTGGCCAAATTCACTGGTGAGCTGGTTAGCCAAAGAACCCAGTTCATCTGGGTTGGTGTTGGACTTAGTAACCTAGGAACAAGAACCACAAAGCTTTGAAGAAAAGTAAAAATACGAACAGGAAACAATCAGCATGTCACCTATTTGGTTTCAAATAAATGAAAATTGAAATCATTGCAAACAAAAAAAAAGGCCATTCGACCCATTCAACCCATAAGGTAATCAGTAAGAATGTTTATTTGATGAAGAACTATTCCATTAAAAAAAACTCGGGAGGTGGAGAAAACAAATACAACTCATACATACTTATGTCCAGAATTGTTTTCTGCACATACTTCCAAAGCATAGTCAAGAGTTCATAAGCAAGCCTTACCATTTCCTGCACCGTGACAGCAATGGCTTTGGCAGTCTTCACCATAGTGGTCTGGTAGTCAACAAAAGTGCCCTCTGGCTCACCAGCTGGGGCCTCATCCATCTGTTTGCCACACACCCCAAACACAATTAAAGGCAGTTCATGGGTTGAAAGCCATCTTTGAACAGTTTGAAATAAAGAGAGCCCATTTGCTAAGATGTTTTAGCATCTTTTTCTTACAGAAGATGAAAAATCATTTTGATTTGAACTACAATTAGGCAGATTTATGTCACCTTTTTCCATACAATCAACCATCATGTTTTGATAAAAGCAAAGCTTTTATACATTCACTCTTTACCTTAAATGACTTTTACCCTGGCTAACCAGAAATATCACCACAATTTACCAAGCTGCTTACTGTTAATGTGCTGGTGCTGTCTGTGGCCCTGAGTGGCCTCTCTCACCTTGTTGATGGCCTGAGTGATAGAGTCCACCATGCCGCCCACAGCTCCAGAAGCACTGGCAGCCTCGGCCAGTGTGGCAGCCAGGTCGTCCACAGCTTCCTTCATCATCTGCACGGACTCCTCCAGAGCCTCCTGTGTGTGTGCTGCCTGGGGACGCCAAGAAAGCATCACTGACTCAGAGACCGCGATCAAGTGTTAGTGGGGGACAGCACTTGGGAAACGATAATGCTGGCAAAACTGCCTCTTAAAATGACTTCTAAGTAAATCTGGAGCAGGATTCGATGAAGTAATCTAATTTTACAGAAAACACTTGGTGTATCTTCTGACCAATGCAGTTGACACAAAAGAACACAAACTGGTGGGCATGAGATTTAATAACGTACTGTGAACAACTAACAGATCTAAAATCAGATGACCAAAGCAGAACATGAGCTAAAAACTAATTTGTTCTCACCCTGTCCCGCAGAATAAAGAGACATCTTTACCCTTGTGTTATATTCCACAAGCTAGAACATTATCATCGACTTATATGAAGGCAACATCTGAATACTAACTAAAAATTGCATTTGCCAGTAATCTGGATGCTATTCAAACAAGCAGAAAAAGAGTTGTGTGAAGCAGATTGTGGTAGTTTAATTTAACTGGTGGTGGTGGTGGTGGACATGAACATTATTTTCTCATTGCAGTCACTTGCTTTTTATTTGCCTTACTTTGGGATTGCCTCCAGCCTCCTTGGCTGTGTAAAGCATTTGCAGAGCTGACTCTGCCAGCGTCTTGGTCTGATCCAGCACGTTCATCTGCTGCTGGCTGTTGAGGATCTTCGAGGCAGCGCCAATAGAAGCCATGATCAGAGGCTCAAAGTAACTGACCATATGAGACACCTATGCACAAAGTAAAAAACAAACACAAGTAAATTTATTTTAACCCAGTCCATCAAAGCTAATTTGTACAAATAATGAGAAAACTAACTTTGACTGTTACTAAAAACGGAGACCACAGTTATATGGTCATGAAACATATCAACTTGACCTTTAGCCAAAGGCAGTTAATCAAATACAGATCTAAACAAGACTTGAAAGAAGCTAAGAGAATTTGCTTAAAGCACTGCAGCTGCAGGGCTGCTCAGTAGCTTAATCAGCACAGGTACTTGTTTAGAGCGCAGGCTGAGCACTGTAGTCCAGACACGGCCTGTTCAGGTTCTAAGTCATTAGTCAACTGTGACAGGGATTTCCGAAGAGGCAGGGTACAATTTGCTGAGCACTGCTGGGGTTGAGTGAGCAATGTTTAACCTGGGCTTGTTACAACCACCCATGTGACCTGCACATCGCCCGAGGATTTGCCTTTGAAGTGCTGACAACCATGGATGCCTTCTCTGTACTAAGTGCTATGCGACTTGCAGTGTGAAATATGATAGATAAATCAACACACACAGCCTTTGTCCCTGCTCAGCCGGCAAAAGAGTCACAGCAGGGGAAGTCAAATTGACTACCAGCTGCCAAATCAGGAATTATAACAACACATTAACAATACATACTAAAATTAAGAAAGCTATATATCCCAATGTCTTGGGACAGTAAAGCCAAACCTTAGTTTTTCTTTGAGGTCAAACAATTTGTATCTGTAACCCTAACATTAACATTAATAACAATTATTAAATATTTTTGTGGGATTCTACACACAGATTGGATCATATCATATCAAAACATACTTTGAATTCAATCTAGTGATAGAAATTGGATCATACGTATCAGGATACATTTGCTTCATGTGAATTTCATAGTGTAAAAGTCAGTATAGTATTTGGTTGAATATCCCATTTCAGACAATTACTGCATGAAGTCTGTGACCAAGGAAAAGCTCACCCAACTCTATGTGGAATTCATTTCTCCACAGCTACTTTGAGTTCTTGTCTATTCCAGAGGTGTTCAGACTTCAATGTTTTTTACCATCCACAATGCATTGGCAGTTGGATTTAAGTTTGAGACTGACTTGGCTTATCTAAGATGTTTCACTCTTTTTTTCTTGGTACACTGGTAGTATTTGCTATAATCGCTGTCATGTTGAATGGCGATGTACCATCCAATAAGTATGGAAGCCTTTTCTTCTCCATAAGCAAACAGAATGCTTTTATAAATTTCAGAACTCATTCTGGTGCTGCCATCTTTAGTTACATCATCACTAAAGACTAGTGGGTTTTGTATTGAATTTGCAATACTTCTGGAGGGTGCTGTACATTGTGCATTATATTTTGCCATTTGTGAACTCGCATAAGATAAGAATGTACTATAGGTAGACTGGATGGAAGGTATTCCTGATTGGACTGATGTCTGATAAAAAAAACACCTCATCCACAAAAATTCTGAATTTTAAATTTGCACATAAAATGGAGCACCCTAAGAACAGTTCTGCATGAACCGGAAATGTGCCTTGTACACATTTTCTGAGATAGGGTATTTCACTAATTTGTTTTTGAGTTGTGACTGTGCCACAGTTCCTTCACAATGCAAACTCTCAGTTTACTATAAATCTTCAGACAATGCCAGTTTTAGCTGTCATGTCTAACTCGAGCCAAAAACACTATCTTTTCAGAAATTGTACTTCTGGAAAGAAGAATGGCTATAAAACATTCTGTGAGAGTATTGTAAGACATGGGAGAATGAGGTTAGATATCTTAGAACACAAATCTAATTTGCATACTCTGCCTGTTTTTAGTCTATGAGCTCCCATTTCTTTATGTTTCTATGTACCCATCTTTTTATTCTTTTAAAAACGTTTTTCAGAAATACATAGTCCAGCAGTTTTTAATCTAATATTAACTAAGAAGTTGTGATCTGTAAAAAGATCTTGTAACTCTTGGAGGTGGCAAGCCGAAAAAAGTTACCTAATTTATGATTTTCTAGTCAATGCTTGCACAATGATAGTGATGTAGGATTTAGTTGTTTCTCAAGGCTGGTGCCTGTTAAGATGTAAAAACTAACACTTTTGACGTTGGGGAAAAAATGCATGTACTTTTCCAGTTTAGTGGTTCCTTGTATTACCACATACTGTATCTTTACACAGTCAACAAGCTGTTAATCTGTGACTTCAAAATTGAAAACCATTGAACAAGCTTGATGAAGCAAAATCTATTATTCACATTTTGCAAAGCTGCATCTCTTGATGTAAAATACATTCTGACTCACCCTCCCACTCTATCTTGTTCATATATAACTGACAACCGGAGTATAATACAGTTTTAGGTAGGGGGACAGAAGTGTATTTTATCTTTTTAAATGATGGTATTATCAAGCAGATATTACAGACAGAGGTTTGGAAAAGATAAGTGTAATTCAGCACAAAAATATTTCCAAAGCACTCAGTAGTTTTTCTGACTTAGCAAGCAGGACAATCTGATACTGATTGCATAAAAAAGACTAAATTCCTTGGGAAATTCCCCATTTCAAAAAGTAAATAAAAATATAAACATGTGTAATTTAAAACCTTAATGGTTATACAGATCAAAGTAACCGCACAACATTCTGTGGAAGAAAATGTCGCATCTGTTTTTTGCTTACTGGAAGCATCTGGATTTTGAGTTTTAATGAAAATGGTAATGCGGACACAAACTGCAATCACTCCTGAAATTCAGGATTTCTCTAGCCTCTGTGTTTGTACAACCCTGCTTAAGTACTAGTTTCAGAAGTATGAGCCACGCCTTGCATCATGACCCAGAATAAAGGAGCAGAAATGGGTCCATTGCTGCCTTACCTTGTGCCCAAGCTGAGAGGCCTCCGAGCGAGCTGCTACAGCAACTGGTTCGATCAGATTGCTAATCTCCTGTACTGAAGCTGCCATTTGCTCATGAAGGGCCTGACAGAGAACAGGGGGGAGAAGACGAAGGTTTTAACGGGCAGTAATTCGGGTTGGTTTAACAATGAGGGCACAGTACACTCCTTGCTTTCTGCTAGAGCAAGAAAACACACACAACACCTAGCAAGCTGTGCCAACATTACATGCCTGAGCATGCAAACACTGCAGAAAAATAAGTTAATCAAAAAACATATTCATGATTTTGTTGCAAATAAAAATATTTCTATTCAGCTTGTACTTTTAACCTTCATCTTTTGCATTTAATAGGATGAATAATAATTTGGATACTTGCTTTGCAGCATGCCCAATTACAGTCTGATAACCCTTCCTGTATGCTGCATACACAGTGCAAACAAATACATGACACCTACGTGCTCACTCAGAGGAATAAAGTCAGATTTTATATAAAAAGCAAAATAAACTAGGACAAACATGACAATACTTTAAAATGACAATGAAGCATTTGTCCCATCACAGTTTAATTCATCATCATTGATTTTTCTACACCTGAATGAAATTGTTTCTTGAAGGAACATACATAAAAAGAACTTCAGATGGTTTTTGAAGAGCTTTTACATATGTATGATTTATTAAGATGACTCCTCTTTACTGGGTAATTCAGCCAAACTGAAGCTATGCAGTACTTGCCTCCAGTGAAATGTCATCCCTGGGTGTAAGCTGCTGGCTGATAGCAGCTAGGGAAGCCTGATCCACATCTCTCATGCACTTATTGAGGACTTCAATTGCCTCATCACACTCCCGCTGGCCAGGGGCCTTGTCTCTGTTAAGAGCAATTACAGATGTCATCAAATTACAGGAACCAGAACTATGCCACTCTCCCTTTCATGCAGACGTTATGGAAAATGCTTGGCTTTCAATCCTCATCTTGCAGCAACAATATTGTTTCAAAAGGCCGCCATGATGGAAACATCTGGACTTGATGGGAGTATAACTGCAACCAACTAAAAAAAACATGCATTTGAAAGTGCTGAGCTACACCATAACTAAACTTCAGGAACACTTAAGAAACTTCTTAATTTATCTCTGTGCATTTCACTAGAAATGCACTAACACAATACCTTCTGGGTATACCTTACTGTATAATTAATATATGCAGATTGTGGAAAAATATTGTCTAGCTCCTACCGCATATTGGTGATGAGTTTCTTGATGGAGTCAGAGACCGTCCTAGAGTGCCCAGCCAGCACCGACCACTTAGGCGGATCTTTGGGATTCACAGCCAGCGAGCGGGCCGTCTGGATCAGCCCTGTTGAGCTCTCCAGCATTGTCCTGGCTGCTGCCATTATAGGCTCCATGGCTGCCAGTCCCTAAACACAATAGGCATTTTCAAAATTGAGTTTTACAACACGTTCACCTTCTGTACAACTCTGAAACAAAATGGTGAAGAATGCTGATAAATGTCATTTTTAAAATAAAAAAATACTGCATGTGTGATGAGTGCAGCTCTGCTCCTGCTGGGATTCGATCATGGTTGCTTGCCACAACCTAGACAGCAGATAACTCCACCGTGCCGAAAGACCAAGTCCTCTGCCACAGCACAATATTACATCATCTAGGTTTCAGAGGGGGAGACATCACTTCTGGAACTTGCTCACTGCACTAAAGCCCCGTTCCACTTACACATAAAATAAAACTCTCAAAATTGTTCCATGCTGAAATAATCCACTTAAAGATTTTTCCATTTATTCTAATTCATAATTTCATGCTATAAAGCAAAAAACACTGGAGGGAAATTAGTGGCACCTCACTAGTGTAAATTTACTAAACCTGTCTGTGCAGGAGAGAGACGGTGTTGTGTGCGAGTGTACCTCTGGGCTGATCTGAGCAGGAACGCTGGCAAACTCTGGATTGGAGGCGAAGGCAGTGAGATTGTCCACAGCCTCAATCAGAGGGCCGGTTGCAGCCCTGCACTTCTGACGGTTCTCATCGTTGAAAGCCCCGTCCAATGCCTGGTCAGGGTAAGAGGAAAACCAGCGTTTGAATATTTCAGCAAGCCATTCCATCGTTTAACAGCCTTGTAAGCTCAAATACTTTCAAACAAATCTTCACTAGCTCTTGAACTTCATAACGAGCAAACCTGTTACTCTGTCGCATCAAATTCTTGCTCCTCTCTTAGTAACATATAGCTCATTGAACTGTACATGATCAAATGCACATGTGGGCTTTTTTTTCTAAAACCTGTAAAAGAGTGTTGCAGATTGCCTTTAAAAAGAAGAAGACATAATTGACAACAAACGTGGAAGGAAAACAGGAGCACACAGCCACCTGGATGCCAGTGTGCTCAAACTCCAGCAAACAGGGGCTTCCAGCGGAAAAATGTGGGAATCAGGATGACACACTTGGAAATCCCACATATAACATACACTCTCATCTGCACTGCATTTGGTATCCTAGACCGTTTACAGGCAGAGCATCCCCTTCTCCCATCTTCAGAGTAGCACTCTTGGGGAACAGGGGTCATTATGGCCAGTCTACCTTTGTCACTGCCTCCTTTAGGACTAAAACACACGTCAGAAATGGGCCCTGGGAAAGCTATCCCCATACATAGTAGTAAGGAGAACAGGACACATCGCTACCTGCCAAATGATTGACTCCAGAAGACACTGGACTCGAGGTTCAAACAAAAGACAAGGAAAGAGTCATCTGACTGGTGTGGATGGAACACCAACAACCTGGTATACAACCTGGGACTGGTTAACCCTGCTATATGCTGTACACATTAAAATAACAACGTGAAACCAAAGCTTTTGTAAAATACTTAAAGATTGCAGTGGATATTTAAGATCCCTGGTTAAATATTTAGTTCATGGAAACCCTGGTCAACAGTATTACTGTAATTTATCTGGAGTTTCCTGCATAGGACTGTCATCTTTAGATGACTACTCAATTGCTGAATAAGTCAAATAAAAAAGGAGAAGACACTGGATCTTTGTGGGAAGCAGATGCAAGTTTTCCTGGCTTAACTATGCATCATGGTGTCAAGATTTGAAATCACCACATCTGTTTTTCAGTACTTAGAATGACCTGAGAGAAAGACTAATATGTTTGCCTCTTGCTGCAGGTTCTGGGGTTTAAATTCAATTTTATATAGTAGCAATCAAAGACTATTCCTAGGAGAACATTTATAATCATCACTGTCATTTAGAGTTATTTCTCTTAGGGACATGACTACAGCCTCTGCTTCTGTGTATTTGATGCCAAGATCGAATCTGTATAAGAGCATTAAAAGAAATCTTATGGGGTCAAATTTAACTCAGTGGAAAAATAAAATACAAAATATATAAAAAGGGAGTGCAAATGCAGAACTCTACTTAATTCAATTTCCACTTTTATACTTACTTTGATTGACTTGACAAGATTAGCTGTACTGTTAGCCACTTCCTTGGCTGACTGGACAAACTGTCTCTTAGCAACAGGGTTCGACGTTTTGGAGGAGGCGAGACGACAGGCGTTGCAGAGGGCTGATGTGTGTTTGGCAACAATGGTTGCAGCGGAGAGAACCTGAGGAAACCAACAGCTCATTACACCAAAAAAGCCTTATTAGCATGCCAGCAGTACTTCCACAACTGGGTCATTACAAGCAGTAAAGACAAAAGTCCAGTTTGGGCTTAATGTTTAATTACATGAATCTTTTGTATCTGCCTCTAAAGCATCAGCTGTCTGCGAAAGGTTAACTTCTGACTCTATCCAACACCTTTACCATTAGATGCAAGAAACCCTGGAGATAATTTTTTCCACTTCAAGACAGAATCTGACGCCCCAAAAACTGACAACTATTTTTTAAAATTATAATGCAAATTCAAACAGGTTCATGTTAAGTGTTTACGTTAAAAGCCGTGTCTTCCCCAGAACCCATCTGAAACATGCCCTCTTAACAGAGGGTGTTTTAATAAGCTTTAATGCTGTACCTGTGACTGGGTGCATGCTGGATCCACCAGATTCTGACAGGCCATCTGGATGGACTGGTTTGCTCGGGCAAATTGGGCCGGATCCACCAATCCCTGCTGGCCTGCATGGCTATTGGGATCCGAAACGCCAACCAGGTACGCCGCCTACAGACAGAGGAGCAATCACTGAGAACAAGCACAGTATTGAAGAAAAACAAACAGTTCTTCTCTTGCCAACAGGGTTCTGTAATTAGTGCCTGCAGTGATCCTCTCATAATGTACCACCTCTCCATTTTTACTATTTCAGAAGTTCGCATAAAGTAACCTGGCACCCTTTGGCATGATCTTTGCCATCCAAAACACAACACTGATGTTATTGATGACTTCTAAAGAGTCGTAGTTTACCTGTGAAGCTGCTTCAGTAAGTCCACAGAGAGCTTTCGAGGCCGAGCTGACAGAGTCACCAAACTCAGGCAGGTTACTGTTTTTAGCATTGTGGGAGATTCCTGCCATAGCTTCTCCCAGTACCTAAATAAAAAAAAACTCAGCATCAGGATCTACAAATACATCTGTTCTGAACTCAAACCACACAATATGTTCAGGTAGGTGATCTGCATGAGCGTGCAAGTAGAGTTAGTATTCACAATGAGCAATTAAGGTTGAGTTTACATTGAATTCATAACATGACAGGCAATAATTGAAATGCAATTGAAAGCCACTTTAATTTGTGCAAAACGAATGACCTCTTTAATTTTTTGTAATGCAGATTTCATACAATTCAATCCTTCCCTATGCAGGACAGCCTCTATCAAATAATTGTTAGATCAGCATATAAGGAATAAACGTCATTCACTTGAAAAGTAATTGTCGATGGAGAAATGAAAAGTAGCTCTGCGAGAGAAGGAGCTCTATGAAATGACACTCAGCCCCTGCCTGCTGCCTCTCCTTACCTTGGAGTTCTCCATCACGCTGTCGATGCAGTCGAAGTAGGACATGTCGTTCACTGCTTCAGTGGGGTTCTCCAGCATGCCGCGCACCGTCTTCAAGAAGAGAACATGCAAGTTCATGCTGTAATCCAGCAACGGCTGTGCCCAGCTCCAGCAGCAAACTGGTTCAAAACCACCGCAGAGCATGGCAACCAACAAACGTCAGGGGAACTGGGAATAAAGTCTTTGGAGGATATGCCTTGCACTCAGTGCAGGCTAATTTACAGCTACAGTCACCAAACGAAACTCCTCCAAAAAGATCTCTTTCTTCTTCTTCTAAACACTATAGCCTTCCTTCATGAAATATTCAATGGCTCCCCTTGCTGTCACCATGGTATAAGTAAAACCCAAATGTAATTCCTCACAGCCAAAGGAACTAGGCCCAAAACATAAAATATTTACTCTCCTTTCTCCGTAGCTTTCATCTGTCTCCAGTACCTGTTACCTTATACAATGAACTGCTGAAGGAAAACCATCCTACAAGCCAGTGTGCTGGTTCAGATAAAAGCTGTCACCCAATCCAATTAGCGTGTCTCCTGCTCTTTATTGATGAAACATTAATGAATAAAACAACGGCTTCCTTAAAGAATCTGGTTATACTTAGAAGGTGTTAAAAGCTCTATCAAATGAACATGTTTAATTTTGCACATTGTGTGCAGCTGATGTGTGGTGAGCGTTCTGGCGTACTATGGCTGCAGTCGCATCATCCAGGTGGATGCTGCACATTGGTGGTGGTGGTTGAGGGGAGTCCCCATTACCTGTAAAGCGTTTTGAGTGGAGTGTCCAGAAAAGCGCTATATAAGTGCAAGCAATTATTATTATGAATTGTTATTTGCAACATTGTTCCAAACCTGAAACAATCATTCTTACCTGTTAAACTTGTTTTTGGTTTCACAAATGAATACATACTGTATACTGTACATACTGTATGCATGTACACTACTTTGCAACTAAGATGAAACAGTGATGGGCTACAATCATCTTTTCAAAAAAAGGAAGCACACAAATCAAAATGCACTGGCTACTTTTTTAGCTTAAATAGTCTACTAAATTGTTGCCATTCAAATGTATTTTTGGTTTGTCTATAAACTTTTAAAACAATACTGGTTTATGTAGAACAATAATGGAGTTTTATTATTATTATTTATTAATATTGTTATCTTTTATGTTTTTTCTATTTTATTTTTATTTTTAAAGGGATTTTTGTAAAAAGTGCTTAGTAGAAGTTCAATTGCTTTCTGTTTAGTAGGTATTAAAAAACAAACAATACCAATAAACTACTGTATATACCTGGTATATGACATGAGGCATATTAGATTATGAAAGTTTTCCCTGACTCATCCAACCTGTCCATAAATTAAATCAGGGATTTCCAATGCTGGTCCTGGAGGGCCCCAGTCCAGATTATTTAATGGTTACATACTGTATAAAATTATCATGTAATTAACCATTATCATTAAACATGTTGAAGACTCTCTTGTGAGTACAACAGTTCATTAGCAATTGGTAATTTAAGATTGCCAACTTACCAGTAGAAAACATGTTTAAAACTGCTGAGCTAGAACAAGGCAGGTGTGTGGTTGCACAAAATCAGGATTAACCAGATTGGAGCTCTCTAGGACCAGGATTATGATAGCTAGAAATTACATATATGTATATATGACATTCCTTCTAAATGCATTTTAATCCATTTTAAATTTTTTTTACATTACATTTTGCGAAACTAAAAAAAGTTATTTTTTTCTCAAAAGTATTTTAATCATTGATGAATATGAAGGCCACAAGATTCTGTTAATTTTTATTTTTAGTACTCGATGCAAACGCTCCACTGAGGTTAAAAATAAAAATACATTTTTTAAGATGAAACAAACATTTTTAGCAAACAAGATACCTGTTTCAGGTTAAGAATATGCCAATCACAAAGTCAAGTATAAAAGATACCTATATATGGCCACTACTTCCTTAATGAGAGCATATTCTTTCCACACTGTTTATCATACCAATTCATGCCCCTTAAAATTGGCCTTAAGAAATTAACTAAGGTTTTATTCCAGTAATTTGATTCTATTAAATGAAAAAAATGGGAGCACATTTAGACAACGGATAAGGATTAAATTTGTTAAATAACAGGAAAAATACAAATAACCCCACCTCATAAACAAAATGTATATTTCTTATGATCCTAATTTGCCTTCAAAACATGCAGATAACAGCTCTTTTAGCAGAGCATCACTTTAAGGATTTAAATGTGAACAGCTGTGTTCTTTCATTTCATGAAGAATTCCTAATAGAGATGACTATTAAAATGAATGACATCTCAGGAATGTTCCCTGCCTATCTAATCAACTAACAAATTCTTTTGATATGAAGATCAGCTGTTTTCGAGGCAATCAAAACCTGTTGACAAGATCACAAAACCAACAGAAACACTTAACAGGATTCTACTCCTCTTGCTGCTCTGCTCCAGGAAATTATCACATGGCTGCTTACCATCAACCTCAAAACAGGAAACATTTACTCTGCAGCAGTGCAAGAAAGCACTTCAGGAAAAGCCTTACACAGCCTGAAAATTTATTAAAAACAAGCAAAAACAAAACAAAAAATCAAACTGTACCTCAAGTTCCCTGAGTGCATTGTCACACTCTTTCTGTCCAGGGGCCTGCTGGGTGCACATGGTGATCAGCTGGTTAATGCTGTCAGTAACCGCACTGCAAAGAGAAGACAGGGATGAGAAATTACATGCACAGAGCTCGAAACACAACTCTATCCAGCAGAGATTTCCAACTCGCCCCCACATACAGTACCTGGCAATGCTGCTGTTCTCCTTTAACTCTGATCTCTGGAGTGCATTTATTTCACAGCGAGCACAGATGCGTATGTCATAGAGGTCTGCTGAAGACCCTTGTTTCTTTCAATTTTGCATAGCACAAAAGCTCTGAAATCCGCTTTAGAAATTGTACAATTTCTATATTCCACCATAGTTTTTTCAGCTTTTCCAGGATTGCCTTTCTTGCGGAGAACAAAATAAAATAACTACTGCCAACCAATAATAGGTGCCCCCAGCAGCTTTTCCTTCTTAAGTCTGAACAATCTTTCAGAACACCCACTATTAGGAACACAGTGAGTAGTTCACCTACTTTTCTTTGCTGTGATGGGGTCCAGTGTAGCTAGGAGCGAAATACTTCAAATTTAAAAATTAATACTAGCTCATGTTCATTTATGTAAGCAATATTATTTTTTATTTCTATTTCTTGGAGTGAGAAAGAGGTTTTTGTCTAATGTGTCTTGTTATCAATGCAATGAAACAATTTTTTGTTTAATTTAATTTTGTTTAATTTAATTAAAAAGTGGCAAAAATGGTTTTAGATGTTTCGACAATACTGCATGCAAATTTATCGAGATGGTTTTATTGAAGGAATTGCTAGAGGTATGAATTGTATACTAAAAGGATCAAAGCATTAACTGTAATAACATTAGAGAAGATCTAAGAAATATTACAGAAAAAGGAGGTCATTTAGCCTAGCTCATTTGGTCTATAGTGGCTCCAAAGATCTGATCCAGCTATTTCAGGGTCAGTTTCAACAACATGGTTGGGTTGCTTGGTCCATACTCCCATAAAGCTTTGTGCAAAGAAGTGCCTCTTTTTCTCAAATTTAAATGCACTTCTACATTTTCGTCTTGTCCCCCAGTCCCCAAGTTACTACTGCTTCTGATGAAGTTCACCAAACTGATTTTGTGAAAGCCTTTCAGCATTTTGATTACCCAAATTGGGTTTAGAAATGTTATTTTCATCCAGTTTCTCAGTGTTGGACATACCTTTATGTCTGGAAAAATATATGGCTACTCCTCTCTGGACTGATTCCAGAGCAGTATTATTTATTTGTAACATGGTGACACAATATAAAAGGAAGTCTTACCAGCAGACAACATTTTACATTTTACACTTTTAACTATATATATTGTTTTCTTATCGCTATACCACATTGTCTTGAAGACAAAAACCCTATATCAATACGAACACCTAAATGTAATTCGTATGCATCCTCTTCAGGCTCAGTGTTATGTGCCCTATTCAGTGTCCTATTATGTCTGCAGTTTACGCATTTGCTTCTCGTATGTACAGTATACTTTGCATGTCTACATTATCATCTGAGTGGTGTTTGACAACTTGAATTCTGCCTAAATCTTTTGGAATTTAATTCTCAATTTGCTTACACAGCATTTGCTTAAGCTTTTAAGTTGGTAACATCTGCAAACTTGACTACTCTCTGTTCTTAGCAGAAATCCCTCCACAAACAATATCACCCCAATTTGAGTATTCACCCTTTATTTGTACCCTCTGATTTCTATTTAATCAATTCTTAACCCAAACTTCTAAATTTCCTTTGCTGCTTCTACAATTGTTGTTAACTCTAAAATTTCTGAATTGTAACATTGTCTGCAAACTGGACTAGTTTTCTAACTATAACAAAATCTAGATTAATTGCGAAAGGCTTCCCAATCACAAAGGTTCTCATAACCCAGCTGAGCATTACTTTACATAATTAACAACTAATGATCTGCAGAACCTGACCTTTTAAAGTTCTTTTCAAAATACTGGTGATATTAAACAGAATTTAAGATTTTATACATAAAAAAACAACACATTTGAGGTCAACTGGTGTCTAATTTTAGTCCCAGAGGGCAGGTGTCTCTGTAGGTTTTCCATTCTAACTTGGCTCTTAACCTCAATCTTAACCTCAGCCTAAGCTGTAACTGGAACAAATTTAACAACTTCTCCCATATGCTGGTGTTTTAAAACTTGTAGACACAGCTGTTCTACCTCTGTTTTCAGAAATAATTTTTTAGAAGGCACAATTAAGGCTAATTGTCATCAAACAGAAATAAATTCATCAGATAACGCAGTCAAAAGCGCTAGATCGTGCAACTTGCGTGGATTCATTCAGCTTTGATACCTGCACGCAAGGCACTCTCCAGTGATCCGATTAGCTGCCCTCTGTAATATCCAGTGATTCTGAGACAATGGGCCTGATGCAGCTCCTCCTCAGTATTCCATTATACACAAATGTGGTTACATTTTTACTTATACTTGCTTTAAGATGTATGGAGGAAATTCTGAAGGTACAATAGCTGAATTCTGAAAGAGGATGAGTGGGGTTTTTTACCGTGCGGCTGCCGCCAGCTGGTTCTTGAGGTTGGGGGCGTTTGGATCAGCGGACAGGGCCTTAGCTGCCAGCAGGAGCTTGCTGGACGACATGGAGATAGTCTTGAGGTTGGTGACCACTTGAGTCTGGTCTTCCTTTGACTGCAGCCAAGAGTGATAAGAGCAGATTCAATTACACAAAACCAAGTGTGAATTAAGCGTTATTTTACTTCACAGGCAGCAATTTTTTTTCAACAAGTCATAAGAAATACTTCTACAATTAATTAAACATTTAAATCTCAAACTCACAAACTAAAACTTATATACAAAATATTACCACTATAAGCATAGGTACTTTATTGTCCACTGCTATGGAAATTGGCTTCTCTACCAGAAGTACAAAACACACAAGCAAAACATAAGAATCACATATGGTCACAATAACAGTATGTGATATATGTGATACATATTATGGGACAGATGGTCTGTATTTTGTTTTTCATTAACTTAACAATTTAAATTTCTAAGTTGCAGAATTAGCCCCTCTTGTGCTCACGGGACAAAACATAGATACAGTATGTGTGTTCACCAGAAAAAAAAGTAGTTTTTCATGTTTTAAATTTTTCAATCTAAATATCACATAAACTTGTGATGGCCTAAATACACATGGTAAACTCATGTACTTGGCAGCTGCTAGCCCAGACGTCTTTTTAGGAATTTGTATGTGTATGTTTGTGATTTAAGAAAATCATCATAAGATACTCCAAGCAATTCAGTGCAGAGAGGTTCCCAGAAAGTAGAATCCTTTGTCTAGATGTTTGAACATTGTGATATCTTCAGTACTTGCTGAAGAGCCCACTGAAGCCCACCTGAGATTGCCCAGCCATCTCGACGCCGGCCTGCAGGAACTCATTGAAATCCTGGCCGAACTTGCCGGAAGCCTTGGCCAGCTCCTGTGTGGTGCCCCGAGAGGCCTGGACCAGCTCATTGGCTGACTGGTTCAGCCCAGCGGCAGCCTGGTTCAGGTTGCCCTGAGCTTCCTGGAAGCTCTTGGAGCTTGGAGGGAACTGGAAAGGAAAAAAAAGATGTGACAGTTAATCCCTCACTACTGTGGTTTTAAAGGGACTTTTTTTATAATTAGAGTGCTTATTAACAATACAGTACCTACTATTGCTTAATCCTATTATTCACTTGAAACAGTTATTTGTATTAACTTGTCCGTTCCTAAATGAAAACTGTCACATGTGACTTCTATAAAAACAGACTTTCACTCACTGATTCTGCAAGAAGTTTTTTGCTGGCCTCTCCCACAGTCCTGATAGCATTGTCCACATCTCTTTGTCCAGGCAGGCAGTTCACACACCTGTTCAGGGCCTGCGACACAGCTTTAGCCACCTATACAGAACAAACAGGATATCCATTTCACAAGGATAATCTGCTTACAGTTTCTTTAATTGCTCCTTCTTTTGTTTATTTGTCGAACCACATATTTCCAAGGAAGGATTCATTTGGAAGACAGTTTTAGTGCTGTTTTCGAAGTAATTTTCCAATACAATATGTAGCGCATTTGTTCAGATTGAGTGTGTGAATCATAAATTGCACTAGGATGGCTAATTGAATGAATCCCTAACGATAAAAATTCAGAAACACAAACAACAAGTAATGTTGCCAAAATATTCTCCCTTCACAGAAGGTATCCATTTATTATTTCCAATTCACGCTTGTTGTATACCGCACTACAGTATTTCCCCTAGCAAATTCGAACCAGTTCATGAGCTCTCCACAGACCTGGGCTAGTCTCTGCTGGCTGTCGGGGTCTCCCGGCTTGGCCACAGCCCGCTTGGTCTCCTCAATCAGGTTGGCTGATTTGTCCAGGACATCGACGGCACAGTCCAAGATGGCATTCCGGGCCTGTGGGTCGGGAGTGTTGGCCGCTACGCCACGGGCAGCAGATCCCAGGGATCGCAAGGCTTGAGCCAAGTCACGCGCGGCCATTCCTGGAGAGGAAACACAAAGGAGGAGCTGATGAGGAGGTCGAGGGAAAGTGTTTTCATCTCAAGAGAGAGCAGCAGAAGGGTCCACATGTTAGAAGCTCTGCACTAGACTGTTCAAACAAATCAGACTGACACCTGCTGCGACAACATACCGTATTAGGCCTAAAGCAGACTAGACAACTTTGATCCACTTGGTTGGCAGGATAGTTATTCAAAGTTTTAAAAAATATCAGGCTTTAAATCCAGCCAAAGTCCTTCTCAAGAATACTTGACTACCTTGGTACATTTGAACATCAATGCACTTCACTGAGAGCTCTCTTCAACCTCATTTTATCTCTTTATTTCCAGGAGTGCTTGGAAAGTCATTTGTCTTTTCACTTTTCACTGAGTATGTTTATGTAGTAGAAACGTTACATTAAATTTGTATCTGGCCAATTTTAAAGATTATGTAACATTTTAAATGACTACAAATAATAAAAAAGCAAAACCTGTTGCAGTGAGCTGCAAAAGTATTCACTCCCACCATTTCTGTTGAATTACAAATGATGTAACTTTTTAAGAATACTTTTAATTCAAAGTTAAACACTTAAGTAGAATACTCTTATGGGTGAAGTACTCTTCTGAAAATACAGCAAAAATCATCAAGAACTAAAATTTGTGACTGCTTAAGTATTTACTTTTTGATTTCTTAAGGAAAACCAAAATTCGTTTAGGAAGAAGAAAGTAAATATCAGAGTCTGAACAAAGAATGAAAAATGAGTGAATGTTACACCACTCTTGTGAGTAAAGTTGGTAGAAATGTATTAAAAAATATGCATCTGTAATTACTGCCAAAGGTGTTTTCACCAAATATAGACGTCTTATGGGGGCGAATACCTGTGCAATCTACATATTTTAGTTTGTTGTTTTCGGGGGCACTTTTTGATGTTACTTGACTTCTTTCGCTCAAATTGGTGATTCAAAATATTCACTTTAAAAAATGTATACACTTCTTTTATAACACAGACATGATTGAAAGGGGGGAATATATTTGCAAGGCGCTGTAAGAGCTACTCAAAGTATAAGATGTACTTAAACATTTTTGTTCAAGTACAGTAGGTAGCTATGTCAGCATGGACAGGTCATTCCCACCTGAAGAAGGCTCCACAGCCAAAACATTGAATCTCTTTTCTTATCCTTTCATAATGAAAGGAACGTTTACCTATTCCTTTGCAACATACTGTATTTTTTGTGTCAACCATGTGTACTGAAATGACTGTAGTTCAAAATAGCTCTAAACTTAACAGACTGACTGGAAGTTTTGAAGATTTAAAATTGATCAGTTCTTTGCTTGGAAAGTAAACAAAAACACAAACTGTGACTTAATGTTGTGCGTCTTTTGACAAGAAAAAGCAGATGTTTAAAGGAAATTGTCAGGTAGGACCGCAGAGGATTGCCACTTTTTCAATTGTAAAAAAAATGACTAAGTCTAAATTCCCTGTTATATTCTCAATTCCCATATCTTAGTCTCTCTTCATGCAATTCCTGTTGCAAAAAGTGACAGACTGTTTTCTAGTATGATACCGTACCATTTGGGAATAGTCACATAAAGCTTTGCCCAGATACTATCATTATTACAATAAAAACTGAACCATATTTCCTGAAGAACATTGTTCAAACAATTAATGATTACGTGATGTTGCTGTGAATCATAAATACCATTCTTGCTCGTGTTAAGGAAGGAAAGGGTACTTTAGAAGTGATACAATGGATTTTCTTTCCACTAAAAAGTTTTCCTGTTTGGATGTCAGATGGGGGACATCTCTACCAGTTCTGGGCAGTTTTTCAAATAACCTCTTCTCTTCTCAGACACATAAACTTACTCATCCAACTGAGCTGTTTAAAATGGCAAAGGCCATTCTAAAAAAAATAAATGTTGAAAGTTCTTTTTGATAGAAAAGAATTTAAAAACTCTCTTTGGATAATTCTAGGAGAACAATTTCATTACTGCAATAAAGGTTGTATTCTTTTTAGCTTTTAAAATTTTTTGGTGGTGTTTGAGATGACAAATATTTACAATCCTGAAAACATTAAACTACATAACAGAAAGCTTAGAGAATAAAACAAAAGTAAAGAATGTCATTTTTTTATCAAACAAACCCTTTTGCACATACTCCCTGTATAATAAGTGTCATAAGATTAATACAGTACGTAGCATTTTCTATTTTTATATACCACACACATTACCTAAAATATTAAAATATTATCTTAACATAATGTCTTGGATTTGGCAAATTTTCTCCCCTAGATGTCATGATTCTCTGTGTTTCTATATGCTCACTCCACTTATATGGCACTTCTATCTCCAAAATCTCATGTCTCAGTTCACATAACCTATCTTGTCTAGGTCTTTGTTTTAATTGGTCTTTTGGCTATTGTAACATTTTACTCTTAACAGCTTCTCTCAGATCCTCCCTTTGAGTCTATGGCACTTCTCTTATCGTAAGTAGTTCTCCTCTCCAATCCCACTTACTACAGTTCTAGTTCCCAGCAATCTACTATTGTAGGGACCCCAACTTTCAGTCTTTGGACCCATTCTCTGCACACATATTGTCTGGGTTTTCACTTCTTCCATCATGGCTTCTTAAAGCACTTCAGTGGGGATGACTCTCAGATCATTGTCTCCCTTGCTTCCAACTTCACCTTTTGCATTTCTTTCAGGTTAACCTTGGAGGCAGCGACACAATCACAGTCTTTCCTTGTCTGGCCTTCTTTTGTCACCTTCCTCTTCCTCACACTTCCTTGACATTCATTTCGCGATATTCTTGAATTCACCCTGTCATTGCTGTCAAGAATCTTGGATCCCCAACCCCTTCTCCCAGCCTTCTCTTTCTCTAGCATACCACTGCTTCTCTTTCCGCAGACACCCACTCTACTTCACTCTGCTCCACTCAAGCCCTCGTCTATGTCCCATCTTGACTGCTGCAACGCTCTTCAGGCTAGTCTCTCCATTTCTGCAATGCATCCACTCTAGCGTGACCAACGTTCTGCTGCCTCACTCATTTTCTCCCTTCCATGTAAATGTTTGTATACAAACTGAAAATGCAGATGCCTACTTACCACTGTATCAGTTTCCCTGCTCTCTCCTATTTCCTTATTCTAATCAGTCCCTTTAAGCCCTCTTGCTCCTCCCAAGCCTTCTCTTGCAGACTAGCCCTACAGTCTCCCATCTTCCAGAGTCCACTGTTTCTCTACCCTTACAGCTTGATGATACAACAGGCAGCACAGGAACCAGGAGGAGTGTATTTCCTGGGCACATCTTGGAACCTCCTCAAGACTCACTGGGATCTGCCCATCTGTAGTCTACTTGCTATCTCCTGACGCTGCTCAGAGCCTCTGCTCCTTTTACTTTTCTTTTCTGACTCATCTTCATTGATATATCCTATTTACCTTGACAGAGTATTAGTAATTGATTGCAGATTTGATTTTGATTGTATATGATGTTTCTTTAAATTGTACTACTGCAATTATTGCTTTTACTTTTACTTTTCAATTCTATTTCGATTCAATTATAATCTTGATATTACAATGTCTTTGCCTGTCTGTTTCCTGGTTCCCGAGGAAGGGCATTGGATAAGGAAAATAATAATTACAAAACTAATAGTCAGAAGACTAAAAAAAAACATTTGAAGAATACATAAAAAAAGAGTCACAAATAGGTTTCGCAAAGCACATGAGCATGATAATTATCTTTAGAAATTCTGTATGGTTTTGTAGATGTGTATTTATCATTAGTATTAGTAGTAGAAATAGTATATTTCCTTTAGGTATCCTATGTTAGAGAACAATCCAAAGTACCTGTGTAATTCTCGTTCCCTTGGGTCACTTCGCTGAGCAGCTGAGCAATGGCAGAACTCACTGCCTTGGTGCTGGTCCCCAGGTCTTGTGAACATTTCTCCAGCTGAGAAAGGGAACATATACATATTAGAAGGAGAAACAACCGAAGCACTTTTAAAGAAAGATGGTTCTAGATTAGACCTGCCATGGATGCCAAAATCTTACACCAACACTTAATGAGATTTTCTTGAAATGAATGGTGTGGAAAATTATTACACGTGTTTAATCCATCACCTTATCCTGCACACCATCACCTTTGCATGTTATGTATTTATTATTGTGAGCACCAACATCTGCTCTTAACAACCTCTTATAATATCCATCCATTTTCTAACCACTTCTTCCAATTCAGGGTCACAGGGCAGCTGGAGCCTATCCTGGCAAGCAGGAGGCCGCGAACAAGGCCAGGAACAGGATGCCAGTCCATCGCAGGGCAGACAAACACAGACACACACTCATAAAAGGCCTAATTTTCCCAGAAGCCAATTAACCTACCAGTGCATCTTTGGGCTGTGGAGGACCCGGAGGAAACCCAGGGGAACAAAGGGAAAACACATAATCTCCACATAGAGAGCACTGCTGGTCTGGAAGTGAAACCAGGGACCCAGCGCGGTGAGGCTGGCTAACCACTGATCCACCGTGCTGCCCTCTTATCACATCATACTTAAAGTATTTCTCAGCACTGCAATATCAAAAATAGGTTGAGAATGCTGCATTTCTTATGTGTTTCGATATCATTTCTACAATGACTTATATTTAATTAGAGAATTATTTTAAGAGACATTGCAGGAGCAGACTTTAAGGGTTAAAAAGTACTCCTGCATTAACTACCCGTCATTTTCAGATGTGCTTAACTGTACTGTATAATACTGTTGGCACAAATCATGAATTTACCTCCAAGAATAAATATATCAAAGATTTTCCTGGGATTGTCCTGATTAGACATTTTGGTGTCCCCATAACACTCCTCTTTATTTCTAAATACGGTACCTAAACTAAGTTTTACCCAAAGGGATCCCAACTGCATCCAAGGCATTTGTTTAATTGAAAATGACAGTTTCTGGCTTAAACTCAGTAGCCTAATCAAAGAAAATTATTATGATTTGCTTCACTAACTCAGACAGAATTACTGAATTCATTGTGCATATATTCAATAATACCATCTGAAAAAACATGGATTGAAGGCACTTAAAAAGAACATCATACTGCACAATGAGCCATTACCTGTACAAAAAGGCCTTATTTATAAGTTGAACATTGAAGAGTAACAGAATACAAGAGACTAACTTTTTCAGTACACTACTGATGCTAAACCCACTGAAATCACATTTTAAATTTTTCTCCTTTCACATTAGGAAAGTATTACTCTTGTATGTGAAGGTATTATTAGAAAAGTATTGGGTTAGCTTTTCAATAACATCAATAACCCATAAACAAAGTGTAAGTGTCATTGAATCCCTTTAAAAAAAGTAAACCTTTGTATTTTCTGATGCTTAAAAATATGGCAAAACAAGTGCTCTTGAAAATCAGAGGAAAAGCATCATTTAGTTTTAGTCTCTCTCTAATGAGTCTGAACTTTTGATTAAATTCACCATAGGAAAACTTGAAAATGTGGACTTTGGAGGGATGGAGAGTGTGGAGGAAAGCCTCTTTGGGATAAGTGGTATGGTCATTCTTTCATCAATCAAAAGAAAGATGCTTACTCCTGGCAAGAGTTGTATCAACCCTAAGCCTAACCTAATTAACAAGTACAGTATGCCAGATGTGAATAAACCTGGGTCTGGACTCGAATATTACAGGGTGCTCAGATTGGTTCATACAGGTTCACATGTGCAAATTTAGAATGCCTGTCGAAAAACTTATACAAACACTTTTGAGAAAATGCAAACTCCACACAGAAGGGGACCGAGACTGGATCCCAGCCCAGAACCCAAGAGCAGTGAGGAAACCACGCCAACTGTCAGCACGGCACTAAGCCACCCATAAAAGGAGGAAAGAGAACTCACTGTTTCGCCAGGCAAGGGCTTCAGCTTCCCATTCGCAGCTGAGGCCTTGGCTTCCTGCATGTCCTTCTCTAGGTTACGGACGACGTTCAGAGCGTTGTCAACTTCCAGGGGCCCACAGGCTTCCTGTGCCTGTGAACAGTTCCCCATGGAACAACATGTTAGGATTTGGACACAGTACAGTATGCTGCAATTTGCAGTAAACACAGGGACAATGAACTGTGCAAGAACATCCTTGTGCTTATGAGTATGGTTTGTCCTACTCTACACTACATACATGCAACCACTGGATGGCCCTCAAGCTTTCACAGTTAACTTATCACAAATGCTTTGTTAGTCAGAAAACCTGCTCTTCAAACAAGTTTAATCCCCCATTTAATGGCTTGGATTTCATTTTATATTGTCTAAAGCAACTGGAAGTCTACTTCCTAAACACTGTTCTGAGCTGTGTTGTTGCCTCCACGCTGTAATTCTGCTGTAAACAAAACATTACAAGAAGTAAAAAGGATTTTACCATTAACATTTTACTTGAATATCAGAGGTTGCATTCCAAATACATTCATTAATCTATTTAAATTATCTAAATCTAAATCTTTCCTCCTAGTTCAACAGGTCGGTCACAGAGTATTATCTACTGTATCTAAGACTGATTTTTAGCAAAGGTATACAGTGTCTCACATAACCATTCAACCCCTACAGATGATGTCCCATTTTGTTGAATTACAACAGAGGTATACTGTATACATTTTAAAGTGAATATTTTTAATCAAAACTTAAAAGCTAAAGTTGAACACTTCTATGGGTGAAATCAAAAACCTACAAAGAAAAATCATGTGCAGTAAGTACTTACGCCTTTTGCAAGGCAAATGTAAATTAGGTACAAAAAATTACTTAAGCAAGTCACAAACATTAGTTGAGTGGCCACTGTCTGTGCAATAATAGTGGTTCACATAATTTCATAATACATTTGTCTCTGTAAGGGCCACAGTCAAGCAGTAAATTTCAAAATCCTATTTTGCAAGGTGTGCTGGATTAGATATACTGTAAAATAAAAAATGTATTGTAAAAATAAAAGGAGAGAATAAAATGTATGAAAAATTCTAAGTTATTTAATACAGCCCACAATGTAACAATTCAGACTAGCGATTTTTGAGGTGTATAAATATCTTGTATTCAATCACCGAATCCACAGTAACTCTGTAAAACTGAACAATGACAGGTGACAGGACAGCAACAGCAGCTGTTTAACAGGGGAGCTGTCTTCTCACCTTCTGCGCCGCAGTCCTGAGCTCAGCCAGGGCACTCGCCAGATTCTTGGCACACTGGCTCAACTGCATGGCTGAGGCCTGGTCTCCGATGGTAGGTACAGTGGCTTTGGCGGCAGTGACCATCTTAGCTCCAGGCTAAATAAAATAATAAAGTAATTAAATAAAATACATTATAAAAATGTAAAACGTTTTCTAAGATATTTTCCATATTGAAACAGAAATATATATATACTAATATGAATAAATAATAAGAACACATTTAACTACACCAGATGAGAGATCATATATTATGCATACATATAATAAGAGATCACACAATCATAACATTCTACAAGAGTGCCATCCTTACTTGTAGGAAGTTCTGGCTCGCCCCAATGAGAGCCAGCTGGGCACTGGGGCTGTCTGGCTGAGCCTGACTTCCTCGGACTCCCTGGACAAGCATTGGGATCTGATCAGCAGCAACCTGTGAGGAACAGGAAAGACATTCACCTCGCACACAAAGCATAAAGTTCATCTGACCAAACCGCTTGGAAATTTGATGTCCACTACACAGTGGCTTCTGCCACACGTTTAGACACAAACGGTCAATAATGACAGGAATGTCAGAACCTAGAACGATTCTTGAAAATATACAACATTGACTGCTTCTCCTAGAAAGTTTTTTATGTGATAAAATACAGTATAGATACAATTTTAGTGTGTAACTGCGGAGTTACAGCATACATACTGTACATAGATGTATTCCATGATGCTGAACACAAAAAAAGACACAACAGCCAGTTTGCATGTTACAACAACATAGTACATTAGATTTAAACATAGCAGCTATATACTAATACATTTGATAAACTGTAAGCTTTTTCAAAGAAGGATGTACAGAGAATTTCTTTACACTAATTACATTATGTTTTGATGTGTAAAAAGGAGAATTGAATATATGAAGAGTACTGTATAACTGTCAACAACAGATCCATATTGTACATTATCAGAAAGCTATTTGTTTAGTATCAATGGTAAAATGCACACAAAAGGTCATAAGTGGAAACTACAATTAATTTATATCAGAGAACAGGAGGTACTTCTTTAAATAAAGGGTTGGGGGAGTCTTATCCCAGGTCACACACAAACAGGGACAATCTGTTTGCAGCAGTTAACCTAGGCAGCTTTTGGGAAGTGGAAGGAAACAAAAACACAAAGAGACCCAAGAGCTGTGGAGTCTGAATTTAGTTTAACTCCACAGTACCAACCCCAAAATAATCAGGATGTGATTATTAATACACAACGTTCAAATGTATTCTTACTCTGGAAATATGTTGAAAGAAATGCTGTATATTTTATCACCTAATGGTTTTTAGTCATCTAGTAGTTTCACAAGGCCTCAGACAGAATACAGAAACTTCTGGAAGCCACCTTGATTGCCACTATTATTAAACGGGCTGAACATAGAATGAGTACTACATTATCATAGGATAAGTAAGAGAATTGCTCAAAGATGTAAAGTAAAAGATTATAAGCCTCAACAACTAGTGACAGCTATAAAAATTCCTCTGGACAATCCATCATGGTGTCCATCATAAAGATTGTATCATCTTGCCTTGGTGTCCTAGTTAGGACAGAGGAACAGATGGATTCCCAAGTTTTCCAGGATATTTTAGATAAAAAAACAATACCTTCTGCCATGTAGATGAAGCTTTATTGCAAATGGTCTTTACAAAAGGAAAAGAATACAAGCATGCAAAATAATGTAAAAGGCATGCGTAAATATAATTTAGGCTTATTGCTATGGGGTTGGAAACCGAAGTCAAACTCACAGGCACATTTTTTAATTTTCAGTTTTGAAATATAAAAGCACCCTTTTCAAAATACTCTATAAACTCAAAGACATTTTAACTTTTGTATTTTTAGAATCGAGAAATGAGACATCAAAGAGTCACTATTTTTTACCTACACAGTGGTAAGCTGCCTGAAGAAAAACAGTATAAAACTGTCTTTCACAGTGACCAAAAAAAAAAAACTAACCGATAACTGAATAACAGTAATTGTTGAGCTGAACTACTGAATTCAGTCATTCAGAAAGCTAAAAAAGCTAACCAGTGTAGATTGGTATGGTGGAAAACTCCAACAATTATATTTTTTAAACTCTTAACACATTCAGACCTAAGTAATATTCTCCGTACTGTGGTTGTACAGTATGACTGTGAAGTTTCTGTTCTCGGAGACCGAGAAAGGTGAAGGTTGACCTCCCTCTCACCCAACCGGAAACACTGTTGCCATGGCAGTGGTTCTTACCTTGCAGCTTTGGACCAGCTGCTGCTGGGCGGCAGGGTTCTTGTTGGAGGAAGCAGCGTGTTGTGCAGCCGCAATCGTCTGAGTGGCAGCCGCAGCTGCCTGCTTTGCAGCATTCTGCCGGAAACACAACAAACACCACTTTCAGTGGCACATCTCCACCACTCGGCCTGCACTGCCAGGGCTCGTGTACACAGCTTCCTTCCTAACACAACCCAATGCTCGGAGTGTTCGAAAGATAGAGTGCATCAAAAGAAGCATTCAGAAAAAAAAAACTATATGCTGTACTTTTATATTTAAGACCTGAAAAAGGTTTTAACCGGGTAAAGCACATCCTACGCATCCTAAACATATCCTAACAGAAATGTTTTCACATCATTCAGGACTACCTTTACACATGTTAAAACTCGCAAAAGCAAACTGGTATAGTGATCACGCCTAAGAAATCTCTGCCAGGACTGCAGCAGACTAATCACTGTTTTCATATTACGTGCAGAACTCCATCAAGAATAAACCTGTCTGAATGCTGAGCTCTGTAGAAGCTGTTCAAATATGTGAGAGATAAAGAATAACATTAAGCTTCATAAATCAGTCACTACTTATGAAAGAGGCAAAATGGGATTAGACAGACATTCTTCCCTAAAATAACATCTAATCCCAGAATTCCCACACCTGCCAGAATCAGAACAGCTTCCATTCCTGCAGGGGGAGGAAACTCAATAGAGCTGCAGCCCAGTATATGATCTACAGTCACAGACTGGGGAACAGGCTAAGGTCTCTCAATGTTTTATGCATTGTATGTAAACGTCCAATAATATGTTTGTACTGTAAATGTCATGTTTATTGTACTGTATCTACTTTGACAACACTCTAATTAATTAGTCATGTCAATAAAAATATTTGAATTGGTTAGGTTTAAAACAGGCACTTAACTTCTAATTGTACATATTACATGGAAACAAAGAAAGGGAACAATTCATTTTAAAGAACCTGACACTGACTAGTACCATAAGGCAGTGTTCAGCTATATTCCAGAGAATTCTCTGTGAGTAATGGACTACATCGTATTAGCTTTGAGGGATACCCACAGCAATTATTTATGTTTGTTGATAAAACTTCTTAAGCAAAGAAAGCTGTTGCGTATATGCAGATCAAAATGTGAAATACCTCAGGTTACAACATGCATTTAAGAGCGTATGACAGCTAAAACCCTTAATATACAGAATATAGTGGCATGTTATAACTAGTCTGATGTACTGCAATGATTCAGTTTCACAATGTTTAAGTGTGGCCACACTCCAGCTGTTTTGTTTAAATTCACATTAAGGTTTAAATCTGGTAGAGCACAGTTCCTTATGAGGACACATGCTACAGCGAGACATGGTAGTTACAGGTTTACAATCTTTCATTTAGAGATTGACTTTCCTTCACAAAATTTGCAGTAGTTGGAAAGGTATCGATTTGCTTCAGCCAAATATATGGCAATATGAAAGACTTATTCCAGTTGCCTAGGAAAACAGGTTTTGTCCAGTACCTTAGGAATTTATTTGAAATGTCAGTCTATGTTAGCTACCAGTGTTATGCATGAGACAGGGAAGGGTAAACAGAACTAAATCATGTGCAGATATAAATTCAGATCTAACAATTCCACCTACCTTTTGTATTTACATGCAATTGCTTCACAAACCTAAAAATTCTGCTGATCACATCTCAGTTTTGCTGGATAAAGGGCTAAATGCAATTTAAAATAGGAAACTTGGGGTGTACAAGAGAAATAAGGAGAGTCTTCCAAGCCAACAGGGGGGCAAGCTTTCGTTCTGCAGTTGACATCACCTCCAGTTTGTTGATGAGTTTCTTCTTGATGGCGTTCTGAGCTGCAGCGTTGGTGGCCATCCTCAGACCCTCAGCCGCCTCCCGCAGTTTCTGCTGCTGCTCCTCGCTGTCTGGATTAGCAGCAGCTCCCTGAACAGAAGGGGACGGTGAACACGAATCCCCCATAATAGCAGGGTATATGAAGGACTTGCCTCACTCCCTGACTAGGAGATTGCTCACCTCTTGGCAGGACCACCTAGGACACTACATCCTAGAACCTCACACCACTGAAGACTATAGCAATATCTTACATAGCGCCAACGAAGACTTTAAAAAAACAACCACTGTAGGAATCATTGCTCACAGAGGAAATTACAGCATAAGTCCAAATAGGATATGTTCCCAGGAGCACGGTTTCTTACATGCAGTATACATGTGCGCATTTCAGAGGGTTATTACTGATGCTTTTACTATAGAATATACTGTAATTTAAAATCAATTTTTTAAAGAAAGTTGAATTTATATTAAATATATCATATCATTATACTTTATATATACATCATTACAGAAAAAATGGATATGTATCAATATATTCAGTCAGAACTTTAATCTGCCTTCAGTCTTATATCTTGGCAGTGGTGGGAGGCTAATGGGAGGAGCTATATTTTCAAACATGGGCCAAGCTGTGACTTACAGGAATATTAATAAATGAAAGAGGTGAGATCACACTGCACACACAGAGATGCAGGAGAGCCATTACAAATGGCACCGGCTGTACTGTAAATATCAGATATCAGGCTACGATCTCATTGCCTGGAAGCTGGCACACCTTTTTCAAATGCTTCTTCCCTTTATCACAAATAGCAGCAGGGTGCTAAATTATCCTCCTGTGCTGAATGTGCTCTAGCTGCTTTCACCTGGGTCTGACAAATAGACAAACGGGTATCCTGCTTCTATACCGGTACTGTATATCAGCAATTGTAAAGATAACAGCCAGGTCAGCATTAATATAAGCCATGCTGGAATTATAGTACCTCTACGGCATCCAAACAGAACCAGAACTACACCATGATGGCTACAGGTCTGTACCTTGGCTGCTTCCACCATCTTGGCAGTTGCATCAGCGAGCAGCTTGGCTGCAGAGAGCAGCTTGCGGGAGTTCTCCAGATCCGTCTCGCCTTCGGCGTCTGCCTTGATGGCGTTGACCAGGTCGGATGTGGCCTGGGCCAGGATACGAGCCTGCCTCACCATCTCGCCTGCCCAAGGACAACAGAGAGAACTAAACCTCATATCCTGGCTCGCCTGCCCAGGTGGGAGAATGTCATTGGCTTGTAGGTAAAGAAACAGAGCTGGTACTTAACATTTAAATTACATCCCCTCAAATCAATGACAAAAGGCATCCACAACACATTCGAAAAATAAGATTTACACAGTACAGGAGATCAGGTTATCTCAGCATACACTCACTTTGCATGGATAAGTTAATCATGTACAGTACTGCATGGAACTTTTTAACATTGCACCATTCTATTGTTTTAAATAAAAGTAGACAACCATACTGCTGTAGAGCGGCAGTTGAAGTCCTTGGCCCCTACTGACCTGCATCGCCCATGGAACTGAAGATATTCTCGGTGACGTTGAGAATAGTGTCAGTCGCCTGGTCGTAGCGGCCAATGGGCTGCCCCCCAGTGGCGTACTGCTTGATGTGCTGCAGCAGGTCGTTCAGGGCCTGCGTCACCCCTGTGGCTGCCACCCCCACCTGCTTCAGCAGCTGCTCGTCATTGGTGGCAGCTTGGGAGGCCTCCACACAGCCCTCCACAGACTTGGCTACCAGCTTCCCAGCCTCGATCAGCTGCTCCTGGCACACCGGGGAGCTAATTGTGGGAGCTACCACCTTACAAGAAGAAAAAACAAGATGATGAAATAAAGTCCCTAAACAGCAATCAAGATCAAATATTGTAGCCACTTACTAAAGGAAGACCCTCCTGCAATATTCTACTTCTACATAACACAAAAGCCCTCTGGTACAACTCTGTCGGTTATTTGAACCTAATTTATACATGAATATGCACATAGACTGTCTAACCACATGTTACTGTATATAAGTCATAATATAAGTAATACGTTTTACAGACAGACCTAGATTAAAGTAGGGTCTACTCAGTGAATACAGGCCATTTGGGGTAAATTGATAACATAGGAAGAAAGTATCTGCAATTGTTTAAAGGGTTATTAAAGTACAGATTTAATGCAATTGTCAAGGTGCCTGGCGAAAAAAACTCCCAGGATATCACTATCACCTGCTGCCTTGTGTGTGTGCTTCACTCTGAATGGAAGCCAAGCACTGGGCAGCCTGCGGTATGAGGGGTAGTGGAATGAGCAGGTCTTGTAATGATAGGTTAGCATATAGGAGGGTAAGGGAAGCACTGCAGAGAGCACTCAGGGGCGTCCTCCTTACCCGAGTGCAGGCCACCAGCTGAGAGGTAGAGAGAGCACACTGCGTAGCTGCAGCAATCACGCGGTTCTGCAGACCAGCGTCCTCCGTCTTCTGGGCCACATTCTTGGCCTTGAGGACCAGGGCAGCCGCGGCGTTGGCTACTGCCTTAGCCAGCTGCATCAGCATGTCCTGGAAAAGCAACCCCCCCCCACAGACGACAGGTTAGCATGATGCCGTGGGCTGGCTGCCAGAGGGCAGAAACCCATTAAACATTCATGGAAAGAAACGCTGATCCCCAGCATTTATTCTTGAGGGATTAATTACATCATCACTGACCAAGAAACAGGGCTTTGGTTTTACTTCAGAACTTGGTTTGCTTGCCAGAAAGGACTTACAAAGGCCTGGAACCTCTCAGGATATCTTATCTGATGGCTGTCAGCTGTGTTTTATTGAATTCTATACAAATATATACTGAAACAAGGCACAACTGGAGAAAGGGGGAATTCTGTTAAAAACACATGTACTAAAGTCCTCAATTCTGCCAACCACGATCCCTTCTTTCTGAAAATGAAAGCTCTAGATCAGATTCTGACAGGGCTGGTGTGTCTTTAGGTTTCAAGGTCTCTTTAAATCAAGAGCACCTGAAGAATTGGGAAAAGCTCTTAAACCAGTAACCACCTTATTAAGAGCTAAGTTACTGAGTGAGGCTAAATATGGTCATCAAAGCTGAAAATGAAAACAATCCTCCCAATTTAACATTGGCCACAGATTAAAAAGTTTGTATATCCCCTGAAATACAAGGAATTTCTGTACCTGCCATGGAAAATGGACAGGAAAAAAGTTAAATGTCTCTAAGTGTCAAGAACACGAGGTGATTAATAGGGCTGGCAGGCAAGCAAACTGGAGGCAGGGAAAAGTTCCCAGACTCAGCCAAAGGCAGATCTCCCCAAGTGCTCAGGATTCTTTCCACGTGAAGGCATGTCATCAACTAAGACTCACAGTTTGCCTGAATCAAAAATGACAAAAAAATCTAAATCAAGCTCATATTCCTATTTCCTTATCAGCAACACCTTGGAAGTTCTATGTTTTTAGCAGTAAGAGTGTGCAGGAAATCCAGCTCTTGTAATACTGCAGATCCCGTTCAAAGGAGTGCATTTCACCTTTGTTGACTGAACCATATCTGAAAAACTGACAAAACACTGGAAAAAAAAGTCTTCATTTTTAAATGACAAGAGCCAGACACTGATTTAATATGAAAAAGGTGTGCTCAATATGCAATTTGGAAAAGATATATGTTCTCATTAAATCCAAAAGGCTCGTTAGATGAAAAATTAAATCACTCTCAGTTTGATTATTCATAACCCATGATCAATGTGAACATCTGAAGTAGTTGTCTGGAAAGAAAATCTTTTCATATAAATTTCAAAGCCAATCACCTCATGCGTACCCCAGGTCCAAGCAAAACCTGGAACACATTACAGTGTTGGTTTGGCAAAAAAAGCGAACCCAGAGCAATGGTTAAAATTTGTGGTGTATTTTTATGACCTTACACCCCACTTTGTAAATGTAACTTCTGTTTATATGCGGTTTAAAAGGCACATCTGAAGCAAAGTTCAGTACTATGCAGAAATGTTCTCTTTAGCAACACATTACTGTCTGTACTCTGGAAACACAACAGTCACAACATGAGTTGCCTAACTTTTTTAGACCTAAGTCTTTGTTTCCTTTCTATCTTAAAGCTTTCTACTTCCCAAAGAACATTTTTATGTTGGGAAGCATTTTATATACTATATTTCACAGGAAACACCATGTACTGTGTGAATAAAACAGCACTGTTCTGTAAAATACAGTACTTTAAGGGCTGCTCATCAATACATTCTAAAAATTTTAAATAAAACTCCCTTTCCGTAACATTTGCTTGTTTAATCGCATTCTGGAGCTTGATTTGCAATGATTAAGAATTTCAAAAATATCAGAAGCTACAAGATCGTGAAATCAAATTTCTAAATCAAGGTCTGCAGGTTTCTTAAGCTTCCCCACTCTCTATTAACTGCCTACCCCAGAAACAAGCTTCTCTTTCAAGCTTCAGGCCTAATATATAGAGAAAAAAGGCCAGTTATGAGGGAGTTACAATGCTGTGTGCAGCATCACGAATGTGACATCAATATGGAAAATAACTTTCACAAGGGCAAATTTTATGTGCCTTCTCTTGGCTACAGATCTTTTACATTACATTGAGTTCAAATGTTACACGTTCAAAAACTGAGCTCTGGAATGCGATTAAAATAAGTAAAATAAGTAAAGACGAGTTTTAATTCTCATAAGTTAATGATTAATGATGCTATTTTAAGATGTAACACAGTAGTACTTTAGTGCTTCTCATAAAGATAAAACACTGTGCTACATGTTGAATGCTGCCCAAAGGCTATATCTAGAGCCCTAATAAGCAAGCCAACCATTTAGTATTCCAACAGGCAAGTATACTGAAGTCCAGAAAAACTGGGTTAACTTGGAGAAACAGTGGTACCCAAATTAATCTGACAGCTCCTTTTTCAGTTGGCTACAGTGGTATATACACAGTATAACGGGCTTTCTGTGATCAATACTGCTAAAGACTCCTGCCAAGTAGCTAGTGTCTTCTGAACAGTAGTGTGTTCACAATGGAGTTTAGAAAATCAGGATTCTCCTCCAGCCTAGCAGTGATAGCAGATTTTTTTTCTAAAGTGTATAAAAGTACAACCAATGTGTTTCTTCACTGGTTTCCAGAGGCACATACAGTAGATTACATAATATTTATTCCACAGAAAGACAATTTATTATATTCAGTGACGAGCAGTTACTCACACTTTATGGAGTTTAATATCTTTTCTGAACACAAAGAAGTGCTAAATATAAATTGGTTAGACTGGTTCGACTGGTTCAGAATGTCCTTTGAACATTTTTTTCATTACAACAAAAAAAACTGCATTTGCTCAGAAAACTAAACAATGTGGGAATAGTAGACTTTTCTCTGAGAATCGCTACACCACACATGTAGTGCAATATGATCCAAAAAACTAAAAGAGTATCAAAGAACAGGCTTTGAATAGGACAGCTTAGCTTCATACACACATGGAAGTCATTAGAGGAAAATACTGTGCTGGATGGATAACTGAAATGGTAGGGTCAATGGAAATTAAATTACTCGCGCTGTAAACCTCATTTCTGAAAACAAGCACATCGCACACTTTGCATTCCTCTGGTGACCGAAAAAATTTTGAAAACGCCTCTTAATGTGTTTTTTGAGACTCCTACTTTGTATCACAATTAAAATCAACAAAACCACTTTATACCTTAAGCCAACGAAAAGAGATTTTTTTAAAAAAGCTTCTGTAACTTAAGGGCACATATTATTTGAGCACTGATTTAACTTGCTTTGCTCACAGTGAAAACTAGCTTTCACTGGATCTACACAGCAGTTTTAGACGCTGCATAGTAACCATCACTGCTTTCCAAAAAGCCTCCCCAATGTATTAGTTCTATATTAAAAACATTACAGAATAAAGGTATATCAAATTTAATTGTAATTTGCTCAATTTAAAATTAAATATCTATACAGGAAAACCTCTATGTGTTCCCGGAAGCAGTGTGCATAAACTCTTGATGGTTGTGAGCTTTATAAGTTTGCAGACATTACTTTAGAATTACTTCAAAGTCACTTTTACAATCTAGCTTTTATTTGAAACTAATAAAGCAGAGTATGAAAACATAAATGAACAAATTTTACTGCTGGTCACAAATTCAAGGATACTTCTTTGACATAAACATCAATGACACTCCCAGTCTAAAGTCTAACTGCACTATGTGCACTTAGACATGTGATTACTGTACATTATACTGCATAAATTGCATGAAAATAATTTTTACAGGTAACCAATTCTTAAGAGGTTTCCAAGCCTGTACTGTCTATACAGTACTGATTTTAAAAAGGTACTTTCATATAATCTCCTTTAAAAACAGATAAAAGAAAACAGAACAGAATAAGGGATGTCATTTCACCTCCCACTCTAGTGAGAAAAACTTAAATAGACAGTAACGTTATTAGTCTGCACCAAGGTTGAAATGCATGGATTCAAAGAAAGCAATTACTATTGCTATATTCCTACACCTCCACATAAACCAAAATACCTGCACTTGAAGCCACAAATTATATTTGACCAACAGTGAAAGACAGAGCATAACCGTAGATGTACCGTACTCTTCAAAATGTTATTTATGCTCATTGAATTTCAACATGCCTCAATACACACTGGAAGTGACTGGAGCTGCTCTGACCATAAAGCTTTAAAAATAAAATTCTCATGTACCTTTGAAAAGACTGAGCTCAATATGTTAAGCACTTTCTGAAGATAGTCATAAATTGTATTCCAAATTGGAAAACAAATCCTTCAAACCTTGTCCTAAGAACATGAAAACAAAGAAAGTAATCTCATTTTTTTTCCCTATGGCATGACGTTACCCTCACAGACTTAATTAATAATTAATAATCTGGCCATTTCTCTTATTTCTATTTATCTTCAATGTGAATTTATCTCATTATATAAATGTTGTATCTATAGTTCAGCACTGGATCTGATGATGGGGAACAAAATGCCAAATGAAACTGGCACCCATAAAAACCCCAAATCTGTTCCCTATTGGAAAACTATAAAGCACTTTTTCAGAACGTGACTCCAAAACCGTTTGCATTTATATACCTAACATACAGTACATCAAGTAACCCTCACAGCAGCTACTCAAACCTTCTATATATGATAATTCATTCAGATTTAAGCCTTTTGTTCCAACCAGTAATGGCACCTGCTTCAAGCACAGGTTGAGCTGTGTAATCCAGACATCATCAGCTCGAGCCGCCGGTGTCATGTTACTAGCCTGCTGAGAATCCCCTTGGATTGCCTTGGGGATCAGGATTCCCCAAGCACTGATGTGCAATTGGCCAGTGCCATTGGGGATTGGATTGGGATTACTCATCCAGTGCTCTCTCTGTTGCCAATGACTGCTGTGACTCCTGTGGCTCACAGGGACTTCAGAAGGGGCCGAGGCACTAAAGCTCCTTGTAAGTCACTGCAGAGATTGAGGTGTTTTAAGAAGATAAAATGGAATAATATGAAAATGAAATAGGGAAACGTCAGATATATATCCTCAGGAAGTTGGAAAAAATCCAATAAAAGTTCCTGTTTGATATTATGATATTAAATGTATAGAGTTAACAAGTCATATCTACTTTAAATCATTGATTTGATACTTCATTACAATAGCTGGGTCCATGTGAATAATGCTATTATAATTAATCTCAACAGTGCATTTTTTGTTTTGTTGTGTTAATTGAATCTGAAATGTTCCTTTTATCCCAAATACTCTGCTAATCCATATGGAATTCCTAGAGTCAGAGTGCAATGTTTTACAATACCTCTTGTATCGCAATGTTTTACAATACCTCTTGTATCACAAAGTTTAGAGTTAAAAATGACATAAGTTTAGATACTGGATAGTCAGGTAACGATTTAATTACATTTTATTTTCAAAAGATTTCCTATCGATGACATGCTGAATTTGAAAAAATATTGTTTTCTATTTAATAAAAATATGATGATATGATGGGATTAAGATGCTAGAAGTGTGTACTTTACTGAAACATTCCAAGTGTCTGTACAGTACAAAATCTTTTAGAAAAAATTGTGGCGAACGTTTTAGCGGCCTTTATCTTGAATGGGTGACCTTGGTACTTTATTCCACCTGGGTCCTTTTAAGCCAGCCTTTGACCCTTATTGTTTGATTGACACTTAATTCACCCTAATGGTGAAGTAATTGCAAAGAACTGAAGTAAAGACTTGTAATTGAAAGCAGCTCGAGTGCAGATGTTAATTCCTTCTGTCCTGCACTCTGGGAAATGGTTGGAGTATTCTGTACCTGAGAATAAACCAAACACTACCAAATTCAAACAACTGCTCTAAGCATGCCACCCGTGATCAAGGCCAGTTTCATTTAGAGACATCCCTTCAATAAATTAATACAAGCACAGACAGGCATCATTAATGGGAAAAAAAAATTAACATAATTTGAATATAGATCAAAATTTTCTGAATGGTTAACTAATATGCAGATTGCTTAGAATTATGTATAAAGTGATTTAAAAGTGATTCTCAATCACCCCCAGATTTGATTGTTTAGTCAAATTTGCTGTATTTGAACTTTTTTTGTATTTTAACTTTTTTACCATTGTTTGACTATAAGATGTGTGAGTCCGCCTTGTGCCCCTGAATGATCCTTTACCTAGAAAAAACTACACAGCATTCATGGGAAAAATGGGTTACTTCAGTTCATGTTAAGACTAAAAATCAAAGTAATCTACCTAAAAATATATAATTCTTACACTAACCAATTATTAAATCTCACAATTCTCATATAATGTATACAAACTTCAAAAAGCCAAGAAAAGCAGAAATTAACACACCATGTTAATCAAACACCGTGGCTTTGATTTTACTTTCATGTATGCTTTTCCTATTGTCTTTAAAACGTGGTATTTCCTAACTATAAAATGCAATGAAAGTGCTTCAGTTTCTCAGTCTGTTGCTTTAGTTTTTCATCTGTCCGATTTTGGTTTTCAACAAAAACCCAAGTAAAAAAGGAGTGAATGGAGACCTACAATGGTAGGAAGGAAAATCTTCCCCATTAGTCTCTGTTTGCTGCTCTCACCAGGATGGAGCAGAAGGATAAACGGGCAAAATATCACAGATAACCACACGTTTTGGAAGAGCGCAAATTAAAGCCTGTTTCCATGCCAATACAAAAAAATGTTTTAGGTGGCATGTATCAAAAATAGTATAAAGAGCTGTTGGTATCAGCCAGGATCTGTTTCAAATTATAGTTTTTCTGAATGACAAAGCAGAAAGCTTTTTAAGGTGCAGCAGACTCAGGAGGCTCCCTGCGCACATCTACACAATCACCTGCATGAAACTCAACTGACTCTTTTATGGTACAAGAAAAAAATACAAGGTTTTTATAATACTGTATATTGATATGAGCTCTTGGCCTTGGATCTTTTTTTTTCCTGCAGGTTTCCAAGGATACCAACTGAACTGTCTCTAATCCTAGCTGAAGCTGGTTTTGAAGTGTGAATGAAATTAACATGAAAATTAAATGTAAATTGTACACAACAGTAAAAAGCAAGCTACACTGCCCTCCAAAAGTATTGAACCACCTCAACTACAGTCAAGCAGTCATGAAGCTGAAACAGAAGAGGTTAAATGTTACCTACACAAAAATACATACCTGGAACCTGGGGTCTGCATCGCTCTCGCCAATTTGTTGGAGGAGCTCACCACTGGCCTGGCCCACATTGCCTGCAGCCTGGAGCAGGTTCTGACGAGGCTGGAAGAAGGTAAACAGAAAAAAAGAAATGAGGAGAATGTTAAAGCAAATTAAGTCAATGGTGTGCTGTGGTGGTTTTCTCACATAGCTTCTTTTGTCACATGTATCACATTTAGGGAATAAATACAACCCAAAAATATACAGACCTGAAGAGATACGTCAGCTAAAACAGAAGAAAATAATGTGCTTGAAAACTGATGCACCCTCTTTATTTAAAAAAACTACCTGTCTAATGATTAGTCTTTATTTCCAATGGTATCAAGCTTCACTGCATGAGAGGTTACTCTTGAACCAAATGTGACAAGTATTCTCCAGTATCACAGGACACGCATAGTGTCTTCAGATGACAAATAAAACATGGCAGAAAAGATTATAATCCACTCAAGTTTGTAATTCATTTTAGTTTTTTAAAAAGACCATATCTACAAAGAGCTTGCAAATTTCATGCTGCTTTTCAATTAAGAATTAAAAAAGTCTTAAAATGTTCAAAATGTTCAAAATTCTAGCACATGAGAACATTCAGGATGGTTTCATTTTTCTAGTACCACCATGCTAATCTTGTTTTATGACTCTCCGGAGGCAAAGCATGCCACACTATTAATTAAAAGCTGTTGTGCATCATGCTTCGACAGTATGTTGAGGAGGTACAGTGGTATTACCTCCGTGCTGGCTGGCTGCGCCGTCTTCAGCATGTCAGACACGGCACAGGCAAGATTCTTGGCAGCGTGAAGGAGCTGCTGCCCGTTGCCGCCCTCGTCCTCCATCAGGGCGGCCAGCAGCTTCACCCCCTTCGACATCTCCGTGAGGTTGGAGGAGATGGTGGTCACCGCACAGCCCACGGCAGTGTAGTCGGTGTCTGCTGGGTCTCCTGGAAGAGACAAGACAGGGCTCAAAGGCAACCGCTCTGCCCTGGACTGAACATACTTTCTAATGCCAGGTGTAAAAAGCCCTTGACATGGGAACCTGATCACTGACCACTTTGCTGAGACATCTCTGCAAAAGCTGAATGACACCTTTGATTCTGCCTAAGGCAGTGGGATTAATACAGCTACTCTCCGAATTAAAAAAGGGGCTACACTGCACATAACCTTCCATAAGCCAAAACTGAATTGCAATATTAATATTATAGGATACCATACAGGACATGAATAATAAAACTGTATTCTGGCAGAGTAATTATACATTTTTTGGAACAAAAGTTGAAACTGGAAAGGAAGGAACAGAAAAGCACTGTCCTGTAGTAACTAGTATAAGAGGAAACAACTCATCTGATAGTACTGCAGATATGCAGAGACACTGCGAACTAGAGGAAACTTAAGACAGCTTTTATTGCCTCGAGAGATTCGACCACAGTAGTTTTGACAGAATCCGAGGTACCTGCAGTGAGGTTCACCACTGATGCAGTTCCGGCTGTAATTGCATCAACCTGGGAGTGGATCTCATGTTTTGATTCATCCATTTTGTTTCTACGCCAGGCCTGGGAGGCCTGATAAGACACAAGAAAAAGGGCTGCTTACATTTGTTATCTCTGTTAAAATGCTACTGCACTGGTAACCTAATACATTAATGACATTGTTCAAACAGGTTGCCACAATGAAGTTTTGTAATAAAACATAATACATAAAAAATACTGCTTAAGAAGTCGTTCTTTTTCTAGTGCTTATCTAACTTGAAAAAAGAAGCGGACCTTGTCATGGCTTATAGTCATTCCTTTGAAGCTTCTGAAGATGACAGTCAGACGAGTAAAAAAATTAAGATGATTCAAAAACGTATTTCAAACCTAGAAAACTCTTTGAGCTCATAAATAATTTTTCAGAATGTGAAAGAGGTAGATGTCCTCTGAAATACAGCCATGAAAATGGGGGATACCAGTAAAGGTGTTACTCACAGCATCAGTCCCGAGAGGAGGCAGAGTGTCGAATTCATCCAGGGAGGCCTGTGCAGCCTGAACAGCCTGCATGCTTGAGTTTATAGTGCCGGTGAGAGCCTGCTGAGCCGATGTCTGAAATGGATACACAGCAGTATCAAGTACAAAGCGCAACAACAATGAAAAGACAGACTAGCTATGATAGACAGGTCTAATTATAGTGGGGTCTGGGGAGAAGGAAACTTGTTAAACATTGAACAATGGTCTTGATAGCGTTCAGATGTTATGTGTTAACAACAAAATAAAAATCTGATCTAAAAAAAATAATTGAAAACCTAAATCATTTAGATTAAAGCAATAACTTTATTATGGGGGAAATGAAGGGTGTCCCTTTAAAAGGCTACACGCTAGTTTTGGGTACCTCTTCCAAAAGTACTGTAATTGCCCTAAGTTCCTTACCAGTGGTGGCATGTGACCTCTGTGCATCTGTCCGCTGGTGAACTGCTGCTTGGCCTGGGGCATGGTGCCCACCTGAAAGCTTTCAGGTCCACCAGCCCCAGAGCGCATGATGGCGGGCAGGGCCACGGAGCCGTGCTCCACCTTCCCCATTTTGTTGAACTGCTGCTGGAGGACCGTGGACCTGCAGCAAAACCACCCCTGTGTAAGTCACCATCTAAGCGCTCGACTGAGAAAAAAATTAAAATCCACCTGCTAAACTGATATTTTTGTTTTATATATTTAAAAAATTGGATTGTAAACATCACTACAGCAATCGCTTAGGCCTTTCTCCAAGCAAAACGGGTTCCTAAGATTACAGGAGTGAAACTTCATCACAACATGAAGGCATGAGGGGAGGTAGGGATTGAGAATCTTTGACTTACTTTTTGGGTGACACAGAGTCCTCCAACATCGTTGATTCTTCATCTCCCTCTAATCCAAAGTGGTCTTTACTCTTTTTCTAAATCGAGAGATGACAAAGATGTCGGTTTGGAACAGGTATAATGTCATTGCAATTAAAAATCGTGTCCCACACTTTCTTTTTGCTAAATCTGCTAGAAGTCAACTGCATGAAGCAAGGGAACAGCACTTTGAAAGATAACACCCTAAAGCTAAATCTGCTATCTGCAATTAAGATACATAAATATCATATTTTCCAAAATGTTAAAGACCAGTCACTATTGACAACCAAAAGCAAAACTTAACTTTTGTTTTTACACCAGTACTTTTCTCCTCACCATTTTGTGAATGACTTGGATACTTGGGTGGCTTAAACAAAAGACTTTGACTTCATCTGGCAGGGGCTGCACAACAAGTACATTTACTACTACAGTTGCACTGTACTACAGTGCCCAAGACATCATACAAACTTGCCACATGCAAAAATAGGATTGAAACATTATAATATAAAGTACCTTTTTAAGAATGATGTCAATGTAGCCAGCTATCAACTGTGCAATCTGTTCACCTTCAGTTGTCTGGACAGAGTAGTAACCATCTTGGTAATCACCAAAATCCTGAGAAGAATCACAAATAATTTATTGCAATCTAGGAACCAAAATCATTAATTATTTTATGAGTAATCTCAGACAGATACCTCGCTCTGAAGGGATAATCCTAATGAATGATTCACAAAAATGGATAATGAAAATCTGCAATGGATAAGGTCTTCAAAGATTTTGGAATTTCTTCATTTTGCATTTTCATTTCTACTGTACATTATTAGCCTAGATACAGACCATTAATACTATTGCTGAATGAAAGCACTAGAAGTGTCAACTCTCCACTGCTCTGTTTCGTCAAAGTTTAATACTTCTTATACAAGGACTTTTTAATTAAGTGATAAAAGCTTCACTGTCCATACAGCACATGACTTCATCCTACTGCCCAAGACTCACTGCAGCTGTTACCACTGTCTGTAAGAGTTCAAGAATTTTAGAAATTTACTGACTGCAGAAGATCACAAAAAATGCTAATATCCATCAGAGAAGATTTAAACTTTTTGGAGTGGTGAGCCTTTCTCTAAAATCAACAATATTCAGTTCCAACAAACTGAAAAATACAAAGCAATAGAAATGCCCAAAAACAATACACTGAGGCAGTTTTGTCTTTGTTTTTCTTTGCCAAAGTGTGGAAAATTACAGTTGTTTTTCTGTTAGTCCTCCCCTACCAGAGTAAAGCTCTTGGGTGAGGCAGCCCAGCGCTTGATGTTTGTAAGGCTCCATTCTTGTATCACCTCCTTGGTTTTTTCATCAACTCTCATCACACTCTCTTTTGTAATTCCCAGCAAGCGTGGAACCAGTTTGTTTTTTCCTTTCATTTTCTCCTGTAGGAATAACACTGACATTTAGGAAAATTGCCACTAAACAGCATGACATTTATTAAAAGCTTTATGTTACCGAATGCACCAGGAGGGCTAAAAGGAATTTAACCTTTCACCCCCATTTCAGCCACAACTTCCAGTACTACAGACACCACCTGCAATGGTGTCAGGATTGTCATTAGTGGCCATGCAAATGTCCATTTACCAGTATAACATGCATACACAAAAACTTATAGACATAAAAAATTAGAAAAGGGGATTCAAGATCCCCTAAAAAATAAAATAGTTGAAGTTTTATTGAAACTTGGAGCTTGGACTGAAGATGGTTAATACACGAAGGCAATACCAAGTACGCAGATTGAAGGAGTCAAACCACAACACATTTGAACTAGTTGCCTTTGAATTATTTGATAGGGATATTTATTTCACAGATTTAAGCTAGACCTACAGCTGTCCCTCTTATGGAGCCTACTACGTTGATTCATTTCACTCACCTTTATGTACTCAATATCAGTCATGCCATTTGTTTTCATAAATAAACATGCATTTATAGATTTGCTCATTGCTTTGCAGGTGGAATCTGAAATTACAATGGGTGCCTTTAAACTTCCAGAGCCTCTTGTCAGAGACCTCTGGCTAATGTTTACATTTTGATTTGCTTTATTTGAACAGTACACAAATATGTAAAGCGGTTTCTGTTATTAATAACTATATTGGCTCATAAGGAATGAGGAAAGTGGATTTTTTTTAATTTGCTTACCTTTACAAGAAAGAACGATACACCATAGGTTTTAAGAGATCTGGCAAGTTTGACGTAGCTTACTTTTGCTTCAATTTCTGTCATATTTTGACAATTCTTGTGGGCCTTTCAAGAGAAAAGCAAGAAGATTACTTCAAAACATCACTGTCTTTCTTTTAATTCTTTACTCATCATATCTGATTTCATTTCTAGAATTTAATTGTTTGGATACTTCAAAAGCACATTATTAAAAAACATTTAGCACTAAAACAGCTATGTAAATTAAAATATTGTTAAAAATGCTGTGAGACAGCACACTGATCTAAGTAAACTTGAGTAGACATGCAACATTTGATCTCTCCCATTACTTTTTCATTGTAATATCAATCAATAACAAAATCAATACCAACACCCAAAATCAACACCAAATCAATGCTTCAGTTGACACCGAGATGCATTACTGAAGCATTTTTTTCACCACTTGTACTTTTCAAGGTAAACATTTTGCAAGTAGTGCACACATAAAGTGAATGAAAGTTTTGATATGGTGTTATAGCCATGATGTTATCTAGCCAAAGTGTTGCCATTGGCATTAAGTAACACAGGCTTTGGAAACGTTCCAATCAGCAAAGATCAGTTATAAAAAAGCATCTTTATTTGCAAATAAAATAAATGGTTACACCATGGATATCCCTTACAAAATGCTGCCCGAACTTAAATAATCTCATTTACAAGATATTTAGTAAACACAAAATTCAAAACAAATCAGTTTGGTCAAATATCAGTATACATGCAAGATGGATGTCTATACAAGTTCACTTCAAATGAGTCATAAACAATTTGAATTTGAGCCAGTAGCTATCAAATAAGTGTAATTGAGCAATCTAAAAATGATTTATACACCAACAGCTATATATACAGTATGATCTACAGTAATTTGGCCAAAACTAAAACATTCACTGCAAGTCTTAACCAGATGATCTTAGTTTGGTCAGAGTTGAGTGTGTCAGATAACTCACCTGAAATATTTTTTTCTCTCCTTTGTTTTTTATGTATTCTTTTGGTAGGAACTCTTTCAAACTGCAATGGGAAATCAATTTGTAAATACAGCCTTATTAAACATAAAACAAAATGTACACAGCATGTCCTCATTAGAAAACAAAACTCAAACTTATCACAATTTGTGGAACACCATTAGGAAGCTTGTTTCCTGTGGATCTGGTACATAAAAACACTGCATGGCTAATGTCACACTATGCGGCTTCAGGAACTTGACACACAAGGGAGCCATTCACATTCCCATTCATTCAACAGTACAGTGACACTCTGACCCCAGTTTTGCATGTTTTCCTTGTGTTTTTGCAATACTGTAATGCATATCATTTTGAAACCAGGCACCAGGGGATGCAATGCTCACCGCTTTAATACTGTATGTGACTCGCATAAAGGAGTAACTACAGCAATGACTCACTCAAGGAATCCTGGCTTGTGCTTCTGCTCATTGTGGTCTCCAAACTGAATTTGACACTGGTACCCAGCAAATTCGCAAGCCTTGTCAAAGGAGACAGGGTGGGAGCCATTCAGGATATCATCTCGGGCCTTGATAGGAAAACATATGAACAAACAAAACTATGAGCTGCTGTTGTATAACAATTTAGTGTTGACTGACTGATTGGTATCATAACCATAGATACCATCTTCAATGGTGGCTGAATTAGACCGTTTCTGTGTATTTTAGCCATTAATGTGTGAATATGCTCTTAGTGCCTAGTTAATATTTCACATTAATATTTTTTTATACTACAATGGAAAACAACAACTACATTGTTGCATAAGTTTATTTTAAGCCGTATGCACTGTATATGAACAAAATAAACAGCATGTTTAACCTATGGTTAACTATGGACATAGGAATAAATAAAAAAGTCCTGGAAATAAAAAACAAATAATGAAATAAGTGAGGACAGGCCAAGTCAATAAGGACATTATTTATATTGGCTTAATATATTGTTTCCAGCTGTGCTTATAACAAAGTTTAGAAAAGTTCTTTAAAGTACTTATTTTGGCAAGGACAACAAAAATCTGTGAAACAAAATTCAACAAAATTCTGTTTCCGTATAAGGAATAACTACCATAGTTCAACACTTCATGTTCCCTGAATGACCTGAAGACTCCAAGAAACTAAATAAACAAAGATTATTAACAATCTAATGTGATGTCTTTAAGAATATGAGAATCATTTCAGCTGCAAAGTACTTCTTTTGCCACTTCAACAATTCATATCAGGAGTAGAGAATTCAATAAAGCTTTAGTTAATTACTAACAGTAGCATCAGAAGTTCAAGCAAGTGAATGGGAGAGTAAGAGATTTTTCATTTTGTTATCTCCTAACAACCAGGTATACACAAGTTACATAAGGGAATGCCATTATAATATGCTGGACATGCTGTCCATTGATCAACATCCTGGCAAAATAACAGGCTGCTATCTTGTGCATATTTTTTTAATAACAAAAAAGACATTTTATCTAGTTATGACTATGTACAATGTATTTAATGCAGAGAAAGCATGGCTTAATTTTTAATAAACTGACAGCCTTGCTTCTCATTTTAAAAAAAATGCATGCAAATTGCATTAACGTTTTTAAACGTTTTCTTAATGACTAACAGTTTAAGATGTCAGGCAATTTGCAGAAAGCTGTTTGGGGTGTAACACATTTCTCCACCTTTAGTGCAGTGATAAATAATGGGAGCTGAACATCTCATTTTCTGAGAGGGAGTTACTGCTGTTACAACACTCAGCAGAGTTGCAACAAAACAGTTTCATCGGAAGCATGACTAAACTGTCACATGATCATGATACAAATGGCTAAAGAATACAGTACTGTATTGACAGTTTTAATATTAAGAGTTAGTTTATACTGTATTTTGAATGCAGAACCCAATCCATGGCTTTTAGAGGAAAGACCACAGCATTCATTTCCCTAGTGAGAGCCAAATGTGCTTGTTCTGTTGTACAATCTTCATATTAAAAGCTATTATCTTAGCAGAGCGAGTCTAGCCCAGGAACACCACCGATGGGTTTTTATTAGCTTCAAATCACTAACACAAACAAGGCTTCACACAGCATGACAAATCCACCACAGATCCCTGCCCCACTGACGCTACCTGGACATAAAGCAGGTTGAGCTGCACTGGATCTCTGGAGTCCACATTCTGATCAGAGTAGAAGAACTTTCTTCTAAGCAGCAGCATCTCCGTTTCCTCTACGCCCTGCTCTCGGAGGGTCCTTCCATGGTCCAGCCAGTTCACTGCAAATCAAAAGCCTTTTCAGCACCTGCTCTACACAGACCTTGGAGTCTAGTTCATCCACAAGACGGCCAGGAGCAGAAACCTGCCCATACTCACAATCATCGTCTGTGTGCAGCTTCTGTTTCAGCTTCTCCATCTTCTTGTCATCTCGCAGGAGCGTTTTGTCTTTTTTCAGGGTTCCTGTGTTCTCCTCTTTTTTCTCCTCCCCAATGTCACGCACCAGCGAGTACTCATCATAGTTGGTAATGCCTGTGGTAATCCAGAACAAGAGGTGCTCAACAGGCATTGCAATTTGCAAGACAATTACCGTGGGTGAACTGCATTAGCACAAATGCTTTCCTGCATTGAGCCGGGCTGCTAAAACTCCTCTGCCCCGCGTGATGTCCAAAAATAAATATGAGAGTGGGAGAATGTCATATTCAAATTAATCTCTTCATCTAAGAGTAAAACTGTTAACTGTTAAAAATTACCCCTACAGGTTATACTTCCAACACGTGCTGGCACACCACTTTCCTTTGTGGTTGTTGTAGGAAACTAAGAAACTCCTGAAATAGTTTTCTTGGAAGAGCTCTTAAAGAGTGAGTATCAGGGTTCTGAAAAGCATAACACTGCATTTGACAGGTTTTCAAACAAAATCTTGCAGTGTCTTGAAATAATTGCAGTACAATTCATTTTTCAAGACATCAGGTTCCATTCGATACAGCAGGTTTGCATCTTTATGGTATCCTGTTGTTTCATCATTCATTTGGAAACATCTGACACAATGAAAGGATGAACAACTGCCTTACGCCTTAAGATCACATCCTACATAGTGAATGTGTAGTGAGACATTTTGAAAGTGATAAACACTGGACTTCTAACTTCCAACAAATTCTCAGGATGCACATACTGTAATAAAAAATGAACTGCAGAAGTGTTCCTTAAACAGGTGTAGTAATAAATGGCCATGTGTAAAGCTATACCTGTCAGAAGCCTTGCTACTTTAATCATTACAGTTCTTCTATCATCACTTCTGAAACACTCGTCATGAAAAAAGATTATTATGTTGATAAACACATGGTAAACTGCATGATTTGTTTTTTTACTTTACTTTTCAGTGTGGATGGTGAGATGGAGAGTAGGAGCAAAAATGCATGTGAATTCAGCATTGATTAAGCTGAATTCACATGCACAGCTGAATTCAGGCTTGCGTTGCATTTTCCACTGATGAGGAAAAGATGTATGGTGCACACGAAAGAACGCACATTCTGTCTATGTCTTTTTTTCCCCCAGCCACAAAAAAAATCTCACCTATCCTGGCACAGATGGTCATTAGCATGTCACAGACCGTTTTGGAATCATCCACCATGACTGTTTTCACAGTTCCATCAAGCATCCTGATCTTCAGGGGTCTCTGTTTCTTTTTGTAGTCTAATGTGTCCTATAAACAAGAATTCAAATCCATCACTGGGTGATTTCTGTAGCAATCTTCTAATCCTATTTGCTTCTTGTCAAGTGGAAACCTTACCACCAAAAACTGTTGTAATTCTGAGGAAAGTGCTTGGATTTCCTTGTACCCACTGAAATCCAAAATGGATCATGCTATCTAAGACAAAGTACAGCCAAATTATACAGCAAATAATAACCCTGTTGACTTACTGGAAATATTGAAAATATAATTCCTTTCACTTATTTATGACATTTCTCCAGCTAAGAAACAAACCACTTTGTAACCCTTAGGTTAAACATTTGCTGTATAGCTATTTGTAGAAAGGACATTATCAGAATCATAAAATAGCGTGTTCATAATTCACTATTTCGAAGAGTGAAGCATTTTAATTTTGCATATTTCCAGCACAAATGTTCCAAGATAATGGAAGACAAGACAAAAAAAAACCCTGCAACCTGTGAGGCCTTTAGGAAAGTGTTCCATTGTCTGGAGGTGGCTGTGGAAACTATCAGCTCCCACGGGAAAAACTTAGGTGGTTAAAGACACGAGCGCATATGATGCCAAACAGCAAGTTGTTGCTGTGAAAGTACAAAGTATTCCAGTGGTGTTACTGTATGTTTAAATTAACCTTTTTCACAGCAACGATGAGAGATCAGTTCTTCGCAGCCTCGTTTTCAGTCAGACTAAGCAGTAACAACACTCCAGGCAACACATGCCTTGACTTATGTTGCAACAGGTTTAGTACAGACTCACCCCATTCCTCAGCATGTAATAGTCAAGCGCCTTCCCAGCCTCCAGCCAGATCCCTTTTTTGGGGTCTTCATCTGACAGGAACAATCCGTAATCATTAGCTGAAAGGGAAGAAAAATGTGCATTCCTTATCTACTGCCTTAAAGGGATGTCCTCAAGAGCCTTGTCTGCTTTTGGCGCTCGTAGGGTATTTCTGATTAAGATATAGGGTTAGAGGTTCAAAGAAGAACTTACCAGAAGTGCCCTGACAAAAATAAAAATGAGAACAGACAAAAATCAGTATAAACATTACAGAGTTAAAGATAGATAAAAATTACAGGACAAAATCTCACCTGAAACATAGTCACCTACAAACTGCTGAGAAAAAAAAGATCTTTCACAGAACATCTTCTCAACTGCCACTCAATGTTCCTAAAGGGGAGATGGAACTATAATCCCAAAATGGAGAGAAAAGATTCCAGATTCCCTGTTGGTTTTGCCTGAAACATGGGATTCTCTATCCACCTATTATCATAAAGGTGCTAATTTTTTATAAGGGTTAGAGCAATCTGGAACATATGCCTGAAGCACAAGCCAGAGGATGGGACCACAGCCTATACAGGATACTACCACTGCAGTGCAATAACACACATACAGAGGACCAGTGTATAATACACCAACTAACCTAGCCAACAAGTCTTTGGAAGATGGAAGGACACTAGAACACCTGCAGATAACCCACAGGAATTTGGAGAGCATGCACATTCCAAACACAAGGCCCTGCCCCAGTCGAGACGTGACCCCAGGACCCAAGATCTAAGCCACAACAGAGCTCACCACTACACAAATAAGCCACCTACTTGTGGTTCTTAAATCAGAAAAATAAGACAGCAATGATAATATTTAAAAAATACAGTGAGTTGCAAAAGTGTTTTCTGACTCTTGCACGGTTTTCACATTTTGTTGATTTAAAGTTTTCCGTCATAAGAAATCAAAGCAGAACTTAATATTTTTAGATATACACCCTACTCCACATATTAAAAGCAGAAAGCCAAATAATCTAAAAAAAATGGATAAATTGTGTTTTGTTGTCATTAATCTAAAGTTAGGTGCAAAAAATTAATGAGACACAGAGCAGAGCAGCCTCTATTGGTGTGCAGTAATATTGGTTCACGGGCTTTCAGAATAGACTTATTACTGTAAGATCCCTCAGTGAGGTAGTGAATTTTAAGCAAAGATTCCAACATGAAGACCAAGGAGCAGTCAAAACCTCTCTGGGATTAAATTCTGTAAAGACTCAGATCAGGAGAAAGATATAAAAACATTTCAAACAAGATTCTCTTGGAAGAAAAACAACCTGCAAGCTAGAAGGATGCTCACAAAAAATGACATTCTGTTTTAATTACCATATACGTGCACATTTAGTTTTTTTCATTGGAAAATCAATACATTTCTGAATTGTGACGTTTGTCATATGACTCTAAGGCACTTGTTAGATTTTTGTTCACAGCAGATGGTGTGGTCGATCGTTACCAAGGAAATTGATTAAGTCTTACAAGATGAGCCAAGGGTGGACCCTTAAAAACAATGCTGTATAGTATGCTGTCATCTGGGTGGAGAACAGTGAAATCATAAGGCCTCTCATTTTCTATATTAAGAATATCAAATGCATGGGTCAACAACATGTTGTTTGAAAATGCCACAAGAGACATTTTTACCACACAGAATGTTTAGAGCATTCTTTCCTTGCTGATTTACTTCAGTCCAACTTCCCCTTTTTACATGAAAGTCACAAATACGGAAAATTAATCGTTTTTATGTGGTAATACTTAACAGTTATGCGAGAAATGTTAGGTATGAAGTAAACAAATTATTTCTATAGACCATAGGTCATTAGCCCCTGTGTCTGGGGTTTTAACTGGTTTGTCTGACTCATCACACACCCATCATGAATTTTACGTTCAATCCCGTTCTCTTCCATGCATTTTTAATTTTGCAGCATCTCAACTTTAACACTGTTAGAATAGAACATTCTTTATCATTTTTCTATACATTAAGAGAACCACATTATTAGTTGAACAAATAATGCCTATTATCACCATGATCTTGAATGTCCACAAAACTGTTCAACATGCTGAAGCTCACTTCTGCCTGAAAATAAGGTTTCTGGAAATGCATTGGATCTCTAGTGAAAGAAGTCGATACACAGTGTGGGCTAAACAATTTTGATTGCATCTGTCAACACTGGTGCTTGACATTTAGCAGGTAAAATGCAGCAAAGCTTGTTTAAATTTCTTTTAAGATTATGAAATGACAAATAATTGGCTGAAATTACTATGTTTTCTAAAGAACATTGCAGATGGAGTCTGAGCTGTAACTGCTGGCATATTCAGAAAGGATAAATGCAATTTAGAAAACATTTCCCCTGATTTGGACAAGACATGACGGATGTTTGTGACAGTTATCCTACCATAGGAAAGTTGCTCAAGGACAAATTTACTGAACAAGCCAAAAGACTGATGAAAAAAGTTATCCAAAAATGAGATTCACAGCTTCACTTTGTGTACGCTCATTTCTGTTTGAATGATTTATAAAAAGCAAACCTGATGAAGTAATGTCATCTGTAATACACAGTCTTTTGAATTTGTCCTATTTAAGAGGCACTGGTTTAAAAACATCTATCAGATTATGTCCTTCAAAGGTGCTAAGGTTATTGAGGTGCTAAGCTTATGAAGCTTCATAAAAATGGTGAAACACAAGACAATTAAAAGATGTCAGTTTGCAGTAATGTAAAATTCCACTTTAGTGATTACATTGAATCTGACTGCTACCATGCTAAACTGTACACCAGCCTCCAGCAGTACTGCAAAGATCGATTTGTTTTTGTACTGAAGAATAAATGCTGTAGCAGACTGAATCGTCATTGAGACAGCAATGACAGCAGTGCTTTTTTACCTTTATTGTATCCGAGCTAGCATATAATCAAGAATATGTTCCACACATCTAAAACAGCACCAGAAAATGCTTATGTGCCACAAAACGGGGCATTTCTTGAAAAGTTATATTCCTTCTTTAAGAGTTCAGCTGACACAGAAAAAGATGCACACTGCTGTTCTGTTTTACATTTATGGGAATATTATCTTGAAAGAGGCTAAACTTATTGAGATGTTCTATAAGTTCTTGGATTTTGACATACTGAAATATTACATTTTTAAGAAAAACGTTAAAATGTTTGTATAGAAGCTACCACGTAACCAAGTGTCCCTGACCTAGGAGCAATGGAAATTCTGGTGTGTGTGTAGGCACACACACCCTTATGTGAGAGTGTGGCTGTGGTCTGTCTCTGTCTGGAATTTATCAAACCACTCTACAGCAGGGATGTCATTCTGGTGTCCACAGTCAGTACTGGCAGTTTTCAGAAACCTTTTTTTATTTCCTGCACTATTGGCATCTTCTTGAGAGAATAAAACCAGGAATCATCTAGTTGTTTTTTAGTTTGCTGCTCCAGGCTTTTTTACCACTTAATTCCACCAAAAATTTGAAAGCCAGTCATCCCTGACATACTTCAAGATGGTAATTTAAAAGTGTATTTGTGAATACAAAATTGAATGCATCAAACAAGGGAATTAATTTAACAATAACTGATCCCACAGGATTCTAAGTAGCTTTAAGGGAAAAGCTTGATATTTTAAAAAATAAACAAGAGACATCCACTTGATGTAAGCTTTCAACTGCTTAGTAACAAGGGTGGAGGAGTGAATTATTACCAACAGACTGACATTTCTGCAGCTTTAGGCATTCTGAAAGTCCAGAAAGCAAATGGGAAAGGAGAATAGGGTAGGACATTAACATGACTTCTCACAGACACATAGCAGTTCCCATTAAAAGGGTCTATGACAGGAAAGGGCATGCAAAAAGTTACATGGGATTCTCCAGATTTTGCAATTTCATACTTTCTTTCTGAAGCGGAAAACACTACTTATTAACAGAAAAAACTGAAGTAATTATGCTTTCTTGTACCATTTGAGAAAAAAAAACAAAGTAATACATGGTTTTACAAGTAGTTCAAGTAGGGAGCTGTGTCAGCATGCATAGGCTGCAAAGGAACAAGTAAAGATTTGCTCCATGCTGAAGAGAGAAGAAAAGAAACAAAATGTTTTGGACGTGGAGCCTTCTTTATGTGAAGGAGCCCAAAGAAGGCTCCACAGCTGAAATGCTGCATTTCTTTTCTTCTCTCTTCAGCATGGAATAAACGTTTACTTGTTTCTTTGCAGGGATTTACAAGGTCGGGGCAACCAAGGCACATCTATTCCATTTCAGTGCAAGACCTTCACATTACCAGTATCTCATGGATTTAATTGACCAGTACTTTCATTGACAGAAACACAGCAAAGTGGAGCAAAGTGTTGCAGTGAAATGGGCTGGGGGAACTGGGGTTGCCCTCACCTCACCAAGGACTCTGTACTTACGCTGGCCCAGCTGCGCCTCTGGAACTCTTTCCCGTATTATTCGGCAGGCATCATAGACCATGGTGGAGGGCTCGAACTGCATGGTCTTCACGACGTTTCCAACGCCGATCTTCAGCGACAGGGCGACCATGGCTGCTACTCCAGAAAGCCAACGAGGCAGAAGGTTCTGTCAAAGCAGAGAAAAAGAGCTCTAAGTATTAAACACACATGAGCACTGAAATACACTGCTGAGGATACTAACAAGATGCCCTCCAAACAGAATCCAGTGAACTGCTTTCTGCATGCTAAATCAAATAATAATTTCACAACAAAGTCCGTTCAACGTTCAAAACTTGGAAATACCCTAAAAGAAAAATGTTGAAGATAAAATATGGTTTCATTATTGTGGAGTGACTATTGTTTACTATTCTCTTGAAGCAACAAAAATTAAATTTGCACACAGACGACATTCCTGCTTGATGTGTGTAACATTCACTTCCATCACTTTCCTGTGATTTAACAGAAGAATTAAACATCAAATTGTTTTACTGATGGATTATGGTTTTAATACACTCTAGTTGGCAATGGCCATGTAATAAACTGATATGAGACAACCAACTTTGAGAAGAAAAACTCCAAAACAGAGGAAGACAGCTTAGAGTACTAAAAATATTATACAATTATATGCTGTAGAATTCCATAGGTTTCCAAAATTACTTGAAAACCACAAGCCGTAATCTCTTCTAACACCAGTGCAGCGGGTTTGAGTGCTGGTCCTGGAGTACCCCCTGTCTAATCAGCAGTGTTAATCAGTACCCGTATTTAATCTGCTTGCTGCTTTAGACTCTTTTCTGTATTCAGTCATTGATTTTAAAAACACCTTCTGTTAAGATACAGAATTTGTAACAATTTCAACACACTGAACCATTTTTATGGTTCTTTATGCAGTCTCTCCTCAACTTTTCAATTAAGAATTTGCTCTATTATTGCTGCCTAGAGAGCTTATAATAGATGATGATGATGATAATGATGATGATGAGAGACAGGTGGAAATGACACTCCATCAGACAGCTCCCACAGCAAGTCAGTGAAGCACTCTGCTTATGTCAAATTGCTTATATTTCAGCTAACACACCCAAGTGAAGCTGAAACTCCCTAATTAGCACAGGGTTCATACCATGTACAAATCTCATTCAGCTTTTCAACTGCTGAAAGCACATTCTTAAAAAAGGCCTCAGACAGAAAATTGAAATAAATCAGCCTGTGTTTAAGCCCTCAGCTGGATCAAAACCAGAAGACACGTGTTTTCTAGGCCCTCAGTTAAAACTCTTGTACTAGGGCTTTTTAAAAACAAGGCCCTAGTGCAGAAAAAAGCCTTAAGAAGCAAGCGGATCAATTACTATCAGCAATGAGCACCGATGCTCAAGGGCCCAATTAGAACACAAACCATTAAGACTGGAGTACTCCAGGACTGGGAACCACTGACATAGAGAATTTAATTTTAGTGCTTCAAAACACTTTCTACAACATCCAACAAGTGAACTCTTGGCAGGTGTATTAAGTTCGTTGTCACTAATTAAAGTACCACTTGACACCGACCTCAAGTGTTTCTTTCTGGTAATACAGTATGCAAAGTAAAAAATAAATCAGTGGTAAAATGTTTTGACATAAAAAACAAGAAGATCTTTCATTAAGAATACCCAGATACAAAAATAACCCTGACCAGTAGTAGCAAACCAAAAAGAAGGGGAAAAAAAGGTCAAAGATGGTGCTGGCTCCACAACAATCACTAGGTTGGATTTGGTCTTCACGATGTTACCAGGCTGAGTCATTTAATGTAGCTGACCATGTTCCTTCTTTTCTTCCACAGGGTGATTTACACCCAGCACAGCAAGAAGCATGCAGTCAACAAAAAAGAAAAAAACAAGAACAAAATCTTGGAAACTGCTCATGAAAAGCTTAAATTAGCAACAGATGAGGAAATGAATGTTTCAGAAAATAGTCTGCATATTTCCAAACTCGAATATCTCATGACTCAAGTTTATGTGTATAGAAACTCTTAATACCAGGTAAAACATCACAGCGCCCTTCAAACATTGTCCTAGCATTTCAGTAAATTTAGTTTTTGAGCAAAACAGAAAACAAGTTACTGAATATTCTATAATGTCTGGATTTTTATGCATATACAAGTTGTATATAAAATCTGACACAAAAATGTAGATGATATTTGTAGACCAGAGGTAATTTACGCTGATGGAGATTGTGTGGGATGATAGGAGGGGTTTAGAATGACACTGACTTGAAATGACAGACACTTAAAACTGCTGAACAGCTGGGAGACTGTATTGATACAGTACATCAGTGGGGTGAGGAAATGAACTGAACCGCCATCATCTCAAATGAGTCTCCTAGAGAGACCCTTCAGCATATTTACAATAGATTAATACTGTAAATCATGAAATGACAAGTTTTGTTTTTAAATCAATTAAGTTTCTTTTATCAGGAACCAATCTGTTACCACCACACCATGGAAACACAACAGAAAGAGTTTGCTTGAGAAGACAAGATAAAAAAAAGGATAAGGAATACCTTTCCTGGAGACAGTAAAATGAATAAAAGTAAATAAAATGAATGAATAAAAGTATTTCTGAACTGCAAACCTGTATAAAGTCTTAGGCTTGCCTGGTGGACAGCATGAGGTGGGAAAAGAATTTCTCCACAATAAAATAAGCACACAAAAAAGCTCTGCAGTTTGCTGGTCTGAACTCACTGCACAGTGTGATTTTCTCAAACACCAACAACCATTCTCATGTGAACAACAGTGGTGTGCTTAGGCCCCAGGTAGACTGCATAGTACCCTCCTTTTCTCCTGGCTAAGATCAAGAACTGTACTAGAATACATTCCTTTATTACCTATTCTAAAAACCCCTTGGGACATATTGTACTCTACACTGCATGAAAGGTGATATCCCACCACAACCTAGTTAGGACTGATTACGGTAATGCAGTAGAGTACTTGCTGGCCTGATGCACGTGGAATTCTCAGCTACTGTATACATCACAGAACGGAATGTCTACCCCAGACCCAGCCTGGAGCCACTTATTTTTATCTTTGGAGTAGTTCCGTGCTGACGGCATGGACACAAATACAAGCAGGGCAAGTGCAGCTCACTGAATAATTCAAGTGTTGTGAAATAAACATCCTGGTAATGAGGTACTGCATGGTTTACCAAAATTACATATAATTATTGCTGGTCAGACAAATTGCATATCAAAATAGAATTAAACTTGAAGCCAATCAAAATTATGTTGCAGCTGAGTATTTCTAAATATTCACACATTCCAGATATATCTCTAGAGAGTTCATTCCAAAAGCACTTCAACAGAGAGCATCAGCCAGGAAACTCTTAATAAATAGATGTTCTGCCTCCTCACCGTGTTATTTTCTTTTGAATTGGGAAACATATAATGCACTTCAATGATATCTGCATCTCAGGGAGGAATACTCTTCAAGAACACTAAAGGCACAGATTCTGTGATGCATTATAATGTACATTATTGGTATTCATTAGCCAGAGATGCAAACAGCACAGGCTGCAAAAAGTGAGAGAGTGTGCTGAGCTCACTTCAAAAGTGTATAGACAGGGCATCTCCTCTCAGCACACTGCACCCACACACAAACACTGCAGAAGAGCTCTGCCACAGATGCCGTCCTGTTTTGACAGCTAAACAATAATCTAAATCTAGAAGCAAGAGAAATTGAACTAATTCAGTTTATTATTGTGCTCACAAACATGAGTAAGTACAGTAAACACAGCACACATCATTATTTTTTAACTCAAGTGAAGAAAAATTATTTCACCACAGGTCAATGTAGAAACCAGAACTAATTGTTTTCAGGCTGTCCGCAACAAGAGCAGTTCAGTGAACCAGACAACCCAAGTTCACTGACATGTTCAGCAGCATTCAGCGTCTGAGCATCTGATTTGACTGGAATATGCCTTTTAGAAAGTGACATTAACTGAGCCTAGCTAAGATACAAATCTGAAAAATGCTGTGTAAATATACATTTACATTTATAGCAGATAGTGTCCAATAAAGAAAAAAAAGCAGGATTGCTGCCTAAATCAAGGTAAAAAGGGCCGCAAAGCATTAGTTAAACTGGGCATCAAATAAATGACTTATTATAATTTCAATATGTCCTCCCTACAGGTTAGGATGAATACAGGTTTTTACATTCAAACCAGGTACAGTCATCCCGTTAGTCATGGGTAAGTTGCATTTCCTGATGGCCCTTATATTAACAACCTTTAATAGAAACAGGAGATATTCACCAAATTAAATTAATCGCTGTAGCTAACATACCAAAGGAACATTCCCCTTCATTACAGCTTGCATTAACTAAAAGGTATGGAACCTGCAGCATCTGGGGTTTCCACTGATACACAAAGTAGTCAACCGCAGAAATAAGGTTTACAATTAATACTTTATACTCAAAATAAATCAAAGATACACTATAGCTGGCCCTCCCTCTAATAATATATATTAAAAAAACACTGGAGCAGGTTATTCATCAGCAACTAATTGGAAACAGTCTGCCTCATACAAGGACTGATTTCTAAAAATTGGCACCACCTCACATTGGGAAAGCTGGCATTACTCCAAAGGCCAATGCAAGGATCTATATTTAACAATTAAGGGGAACGTGACACTTCATCACAGCAAATTTACAACATCCCCACTTAGCTACTGTCCTGGAGACATTCCCATGGGAATGCTCTCACCACCCCGCCAAAAAGAGCTTTGATTACACTTACAGATGGGTCATCTTGCAGATGACATGAAAGAGTACAAAAAAGAAATAAAAACCCTTTACTAGAAAACAATCAGAGAACTCAAAAATCACACATTCTTTTTCCATGGCAAAGAACTCTCCTTTTTCTGAATTTTCCAGTAACATATAGCCATTTTGTAAAGAGCATACCACTTACATTAAATTCATTGCTTTACACTGACAGCCAAAGAGAAAACTACAAGGGAACCTGATTCAAGCTATTTAAAATCTTCTAAGGCACTGATAAAGTTAATCTGATGGGCTTCTGCACAATCCACAGCAAAGGACCAAATAACCAGAAGACACTACAGGAAAGAAACTGAGAACAAAAGGCATGTTCTTACACAAAGGGC